GGCAACTTCATAGCGTGTAGTACGGACCAGATTTTTATTTCAAAAAGAAGCTGATTCGGGGTTTTTGTCTTGAGGGACGCATTATCTTTCTCTCGTGCTCCTGCGGACCACTATTCGCAAAATCGATGTAATTATATTGTACATACACCCTGGATGAAGTGTCTTTCACATCTGGACGAACTTCAAAGTTACTGCAAACTTTGGTAAATTATTTTTTTTTACAAATAATACCGATTCCCAATTATATTTTTTCAAATTTCAGGCGCACTCTGTATGATACACGAAACTTGAAACTCTCACTCGACATTGTTTAAACCAAATTATCCCATGTTTAATAGTTTTTCATTTAGGGCTAATAATTTATCCATGCAAACGGCAGTTTTTAGGATTTCTTTGTTTTTTTGCAAATAATCGACACACCCTGTACATAATCCAAAAAATGCCACAAGTAAAAGCTATCGCCCGAGAAAATACCTCTTTTCTGAAACAATGCCATGCCATGCCTAAAGCATGCAGTACACCTTAATAGTAAATAACGTCATCGCGTCTAGATTGAGTGCGAAATATCGCGATTTTCACTCAAATGGATTTTTTCAAATATCTCGAGCAGCGTAAGCGACAGGCGAAAATCGTAAATACAAAAATTGTAGCCCTCGATACGGCCTATAACACTGCGGATTAGCTATGTTTTGTACAAAATTTGATTTACTGTTAATAATTTACTCCCTAAAAGAACAATTTTCAGAGTTTAGGGTTTTTGTTCATAACTAAAACACATTGCGTGAAACAAAAGTTATAGCGTCGGATCTCTCACGTATTACGGTTGTAAAATTTTTCCAATCGTATGAATGGTTTTGGAGGAAAAGATATTTTTCTGGAAGTCGAGATAACTAAAAAAAAAATTAAATAAAAATACTTCGCGTTATTTTATTGCTCGCAATTTAAACAGTATAAATGCAGGTCCGGACTTCTACTTCTCTCCTAAGTCTGAAGTCGGTAGTTGCAAATATGGGGCACTTATTACTTTTTTTAATATTGCACGTAATATCGCGAACACCCTGTATAATACCTAAAAACCTTAAATACAAAAGTTTTAGCTGTCTATATGGGCTATATCCTCCTGTAAAAGAAACTGACATCTAAAACAAATTTTATTAAAGCCAATTTTCAATTTTTTTGAATTTGCGGCGCACCCTGTATATTTTTGGCTAATTGTCAAAAATAAAAGTTTATGGAGCTGTATCCTCTGCGTCTTCTGGAGCAAGAATTTTTGCGGACTTGTAAACGGTTTTTGAAAAATGGTCTTTAGTGTCGACCCTTGCACACGCGATTTTTAATTTTCAACAGTTATTTAAAACCAAACCAAAAGACAGGAACGGAGAACGGATAAACAGACAAAAAAAATATTTTTTTTCGACGCTGATCGTTTCTGTACCAATGGCAATCCCATAGGACCAACCGTCACCGAGATATAAAATTTTTATACGAGCGTTGATACTTTTGAAAAATTCGATTTTTCAAAAGTACCAAGAAAATAAATATATCTTAATTTTGTAGAACTTTTAACGAGACACTCGTGAGTTACCCTGTATGTGAGCATGCTCATGCAAAAACCCCGTTCGGAAATTCTGTGCGGAACTCGAAAAAAAATCAACTATACTTAAGTGGATTAGAAGGCAAGTAATTAAAACAACTAATTCTTTCGCAGTAAACAATTAACTTTCGTAATTAAGCAAATATTCCGCGAATCCTTTCTTTATTCACTATCGCCGCTGAATAATGAATTAAAATTACCTACGTTGTGGATTACATTACGTTCGACTCGAATACCACGCCAGGATGAGTCATCGGTTAATACTTTCCCGAAAATGTTGTTTTAATTAACTATAATTAACAATTGCGCTAGCGGCTTTGTCTGTCTGCTTTTTCTTTGTAAATATCGACCGCTTCTGAAGCAGTGTTTTGGTTGTTTGTTTTTCGTTATTTTTTTCACTCGGCCAAGAAAATAAGGACAGTTTGCACCGCTATTCTTGGCAATGTTATTCATTTTTTCTACTCCCGTCTGTAAAATACGTAATTACGCACCGATCTAACGTGCGGGAAGCGTCGCTTTACGACGTCAGTTTCGTTTCCCACGAATTCTTCGAACTTCGGACATTTCCGGAATTTTGACGTTTGTCAATTCTGACAGTCATGTCAGTGAATGTATTCGTGTTTTGCGAAAATGTACCCAAAAATTAATCAAGCGAGCGGAAAGTGTCACTTTGAAACGTCAGCTTCCTTACCCAGGGTCGCAGGTCACTTTGGACATTTCCCGTACTTTAGTCGCTGCTTTGGGAGCGATTGGATGGTTTCGATAAATTTCAGTCCCCGATGATATTTTGAAGATTGTCAGGTCTTATGGCCACGTCAGATGTCTGTAAAACGTTAGTGTAAATGCAAAAACTCATGGCCATAGAAAAAGTATATTATGTTTTGAAATTTATTAATTCGTCAAACAGAATTGGTATTTGCACTTTTTTTGATCAAAATTTTTTAACCGGTATTTGTTAAAAGACGACTTTGTGCATATGGTTAATACGTCATAAATACATGACACAACATGCACACGACTACAACAATGGAGACAAAAACTAGAAATTGGCGTTAGTTGACCGAAGCCGTGTAGCCCAATACATTTGTAATATACGGCCGCGAGCCGGACAGAGTTCGTTTGCCTTGCTATAACAATCGATTGTGCTTTTAATAACCATCCCGGTAATTAAAAAGGTTTTCGCCATGTCGCCGTTTTCTTTTTTCTTTTTGGTGGGCCGCGTGGTTAAGATTTTGACACAATTGAATACAATTCGTTAGTTTCTTTCCGAATCTAAGTGGCAACGGTGCGATAGAACAGAGGAGCATAGATTAAAACAGCTCATTTTTATAAATGGGAGAATTTGGTGTTCTCACTGTTTGATTATTTTGTTCATTGACATTTCTTACTAATTATTTGATCATCGAACAATATATTTCTGAAATATTTGTATTACATTATTAATAAATTTAAAAATTATTAAAAAATTGTCAAACTTTATAGTTAATCTAATTTCTTAAAATCCTTCGAAAAAAATTAAATTTTTTCGCCAAGCAATTCTTGAAACATGAACATAAAAAAATTAGTACCAAGTAAAAATTTATTGCGTTCAATTTCATTACATTTCTACATAGTACCATTATTAATATACAAAATATTAAATATAATAACAATCAAGTATCAGTTACTTAAAAAATCGTCATTATCGCTACTGTAGTCTTTTTTCAGATTTGGAGCTTTGTACTGATATCTTAGCTACCTCTTGCCGAATTACGTTTATGGAATCAGCACTAAATTTTGGTGCAGTTTTATTTCTTCTTACATGCGCTTTCAACTCAGACCAAATCATCTCAATCGGATTATATATACAATGATACGGGGGTAATGGCAAGATTTCATTTCCGGTTTGTTGTGCCATCGAACCGCGAATATAATCTATAGTCTTAAAAAGGCTGTTGTTTACAAATCGAAGAACTATGTAGAAGACACAAAAATACGAAATCGACAGGCACACAAATTAAAAATGATTATTTTCAAACTTACCTGTAAGATAAATAGAGTACATTTACTTACCCTTACCCTTTGAACTATCCAGTGAAAACAGCCTCGCAAGGTCAAAGCTCGAGAATCAGATACATAAATACGTGCTTACTGGAAGGATCACATTCAAATACCTCCGTAATATATACGAACATTTTGCACTTTAGATTAAACTCTTAAGAACGATAGGTACATATTACCTGATGTCAAAATAAACGCTTCTCCGTATTCGAAAATACCCCGCCGCATCAATGCTTAATCAAATTTAAAACATTCCATTTACGTTTCAAATAAAACTTCAAGTTTCTACAAATATTCGTTACGGTCCATCTCAAGCAAGACCTATTTAATGGGATGGGTTTTACCATGGTCCTTCGAAGGTCTGCGGTTAAGGTACTGTAAAATACTTAAAACGTCAAAGCCATAAATGCACAATATTTTTGGTCGTACAATACGCGGAAATCGGAGCGTGATCACAGAAGTCACCTCTAGATAAGTCAGCTGGAATCTTCAACCTCCATTATATAAAAGCTTAGTGTCGCTCCCTGACCAGTCAGTCGAATAGCAAAACTATACATCGCGGAAATATGAATAAAACTGATATAAATATATGAAATATAAATAATGAGTAGTGTGCATAGCTTATAGCAGTGTGAAAATAGATACTGACTTGCTTATTTTTTACGGAATAAATTTTCAGTTCTGTTTAGGTTTACGCGGAGTACGTGGTTTAATTTCTCGAACCCGAACGATTTTAATCGAATCAAAAACGTAGCAATATAGAAATACAAAGTATTTAGGTCGTTCTAATGATATAAAAAATGTATTGTTCAGAAAAAAGTATGTATTTTTCCAGCAATATCAAATATGGAACCAACAAACTTTGTATATATTTTATTTAAATATATGTAGAAGAATTAAGAAATACCATAAACAATCTCTTACTACAGTTGTCTACCATTAGTAGTAGCGTGTATGAAAAAAAATCCATTACCACCCTTCTCACTCTAAATAAAATTTTGCTTATAACATTGGCTGCGATACCGATATCTATTCTCTCCACATTGTGAAACATAATCTAGAGTGAGGGACAAATGGTTTTTCGATTTATATTTTTTATGGCAGTCGTCGACAGTTTTGTAGCGTACCGACATTTAAGCATTTTAGCGGTCTACTTTAGATATAACGGCTTTTTGGGGTATCCTTGGAACATAGCGTTACTGCTTATGTGTCCTAGATATTCAGGCACTTATGGCCGCTAAGCGAAGCATCAAATTGTCTGACAATATTGTTTGGTAATTTATGACGTGAGAACTCTTCTATACGAAGTTATCACTAATTACCTTCCTCCATAAATCGTTATGCAATGTTGTCGTTTTTGTTTCAGGATCGTAACCGACCCATGTCCGATGTCTAACCACCCGCGATAGGCCGATAGAACTGTGCAATGGATCGCCTCGGCGCAGGGGGCGGCAACCAGCCGCCCCATTTTCGAGGTAGGCCCGTCTCCGGTCTGGAGGCGGCGCACGCCAGCGAGTACTTCGAACCATTTCTCAACGCTACCACTCTCAAAAACATCCTCGGATACCACAGGTACCAAGTCGCAGCACATGGTACCGCTGATGTCACAATGCGTTCGCATTTTTCAGGAGCATGTGCGAATTCTTGCATCTTAAACCAAACGTGTTCACTCATTTCTACCCCAAACTGAGGGCCAATTTGACGTCGTGGCGCGCCAAGGCACTATGGAAGCGGTTCGACGCTAGGGCGGCTCATAAGTGCTATGGCAAGGGTAAATTTTGCACGGGCACCAAGGTACTTGTCATCGGGGCGGGGCCGTGCGGCCTAAGGACTGCCATAGAACTCCAGTTGCTCGGCGCCAAAGTGGTGAGTATATCGGTTTTGTTATGTTTATATAAAATAATGTTGCCAAATTGCCAAATTAAAATTAATAAAAATATGTTTTAGAGAATGGTCACATATTGTCTGCTTTAACATTGCTTTGCAATTATTTGGTCTTCTCTATCGTCTATCGATTAAAAGTATTTTCAATGTCGCCGCTTATCACATGGATTAATCAGACGTATCCAGATTTACCAAGCACGAATTTGTACGAATAAAAACTTTTTACGTGGTTGCACCCACCGATAGAACAGAGTCAAAAATCTATGCGACCAAATTTCCTCAAATAACTTAATAATCTGTCTCCCGGTTTACTCGGTGACACGCTTTTAGTCTAGATCTACTTAGTCTTTGGTACAGTCGATACTAATATTTATTAATAGGTATTTTGAAATACTACTGTTTATCTCAACGATTCACGAAGCTCAACTTTTTCGAGCAGCTGCATTTGTATTATTAATATGTATTTGTAATTGCTAAAAAATCTCGTATTTTAACGTGATTTTGCTCAGGTCGTGATCGAAAAAAGGGACAGGCTGTCGCGCAACAACGTGCTCCATCTGTGGCCGTTCGTTATAGAAGACTTGCGGATGTTGGGAGCGAAAAAGTTCTTCGGCAAATTCTGCGCCGGCTCAATAGACCACATCAGTATTAGGCAGCTGCAGTGCATTCTGCTTAAGATCGCGCTCCTCCTCGGCGTTGAGGTGCACACTGAAGTCAGTTTCGAAAAACTCGTCGAACCCAATGCTACCGAAAGTGAGTTCCAAATAAATAACTTAGGTTCTGATTTAGATCCCCGAAGGATGCGGGAATGGATTTTTTGATTAGCGCATATCGGATTCAGATATCTTCACTGAGAATATGATTTTCACAACGGTCCTGTCGACTAGTAGTGACGTTATTTAATTCGAGGTAACCCGAATGCCTTTCATATTTTGGCGGGAATATTAAAAATCTCACACGATTACTAATAATCTTAGAGTATTCAACTTCAGAGAAAGAGAGATAGAGAGAGATATTGGAGACACGTTTCTATGAGTTTGCATTAGCACTTCTGTTTGAAATGCATAAGCAAGCACGAATTTTTGCTGAATCTTTTTCGAAGAAGAAATTATTAATTACTATGTGATAACGAGGCCACACAAATTCCAGATGTAACCCTTAACACCTTAGTACAGGGCTTTGACAGCTTCTACAGAAAATGGTATCTAGTTCCTTAAAACAAAATACAATTAAAAATTCGTCTTCAGCTATTTTATTTGGCACGGTTCATAAGTTTAGGAATTGAGTATTGAATATGATTGAGATAATAATTTGTCTCCATTCTTAACATGGGTTCAAAAAACCGAATTGTTACGGAAGTTTAGGGATTGGTATTGAATTCAAAATTCAAAAACTTAGAGAATGAGGAATTAACGCGTCCACTGCTGTAACAGGCAACCACCGTTCTCTACTGTTAGAAATGGTAACAAAGCTTGTTTTATTTGGTTTATCTTTTAGAGACCGGATGGAGGGCGGAATTCAAACCGGAAAACCACCCTGTGTCGCAGTATGAGTTTGACGTCATAATCGGCGCAGACGGCAAACGTAACACGCTGCAGGGTTTCAAACGGAAAGAGTTTCGAGGCAAACTGGCCATAGCTATAACCGCCAATTTTATCAATAAGAAAACAGAGGCGGAGGCGCGGGTCGAAGAGATCAGTGGGGTTGCCTTCATTTTCAACCAGAAATTCTTTAAGGACCTGTATGAGGTCACCAGGATCGATCTGGAAAATATAGTTTACTACAAGGACGACACGCATTACTTCGTGATGACCGCAAAAAAGTCCAGTCTGCTCGAGAAAGGAGTCATAAAGCAGGTATCTAGGCTTTCTCAAATTTTCATTTGCGCTAAATTGTGTTGTATATACACCACGATATATAACCATGTGAAAATTAAAAAAAAATGAATTTTTGGATTTAATGTGTTCTTGAAATCCTTCAAGAGCTGTCACAATGGTATGGTCTGTTCATAGATATAAGAAAATGACCAATTGCTTTTGAATGGGATTATCCAAGGGTGGTCACTAACATACAATACAACAAGATTATTACTTAAAATTTCGGAATTTAAATTCAGGTAAAATTGTGGTTCGCAATAGAAAATAATTTTATACCTGCCTGTGTTTAATATTCTTTGGTTTGGTATACTACTTAGTTTAAGTTTATTAGTAATCATTCTTATTTCGTGTGTAATACAGCGTGTGTTGAATCGTGTGCGAATTATGCAAAATATATGCGAGTCTAGTGTATCTCAGGAGATGCTCCCGCCCGAATGTAGAAAACGCTATTCTATTGAGACTAAGGAGGTTATAAACAATGTTTATATAAGTCTCATTGCAAGTGGTGCCAGCAAGCAAGCATCTTTAGAAGAAACGGCCACATTGACGAAAATTCCAACATCAACTGTATGGAAAATTGTGAATAATCCCATTTCAGCGAGGAAAAAAAGAAGCGATGCTGGCATTTTCTCGAGTGTAGGTGAAAGTGATCAAGATATAATATGGCGTAAAATTTACCAGTTAGACGAGGAATAAAGCGTGCCTACATTAGGTATCTTAATTAGGAGGCTTGAAAAAGATGAAACCGGTGTTAAATGTGGCAGAACTACCTTATGGAAGTTTATTCAACACATGGGTTTTATATTTCAAAAAGTTGACAAAAGGCAAGTTTTAACGGAATCTTTTAGAATTCGGAAATAGCGACTGGAATATTTAGAAAAAATTAGGATTTACAGAGAACAACAAAGGCCAATTATTTACTTGGATGAAACCTGGTTCGACAACTATGATACCCCGGAAAAGGGTTGGGTTGATTCAACTGATAAGTGTAAAACAAACGCGCCATCAAAAGGAGGTAAACTATTTTGCATGCTGGCTCTAAAGATGGTTGGATTCCAAATGGACTTTGTCTGCGAAAAATATTAAAGATTCTTCTCTGGACTACCTTGAAGACACCACCGCTGATTTATGTGAAAGTTGGTTTAAAAACAAACTAGTTCCAAAGATTCCTCCTAATGGCGTGATTGTAATGGATAATGCAAGTTATGCAGTAGACAGTTGACTAAAACCCCTTCCTCATGTGACACAAAAGCAACAATCCAAAACTACATGTATAATAACGACATTTATTTTCATGAAGCAGTTAATCAAGATTCTACAAAGCTTGAATCTACAAAAGGAATACGTCTGTGATAATTATGCAAAAAATCTAGGGCATACAGTTTTAAGGCTTCCACCTTACCACTGCATATTTAATCCCATTGAACATGTTTGGCACCAACTGAAATCTGCCATTCGTCGTAATAATGTTTTCCTCGTGTTAACTCCAATGTCCTCAGACTTATAGAAACCGAGGTTTTTAACATCCCTCCACAAAGTTGGGCAAATTCTGTTAAACATATAGAAAAAGCAGATCAATGCATATTGCAAATAATATAGAACAAATAATAATTAGAACAGGCGTAAATAAATAAATAAATAAATATTGTTTAGTATCTTTCCTAACAAAACCACAAATAATTAAATTCCAAGCAAAGTACTGACCTGTTCTGCCATATTTCATTCTTACAGCTTGCCCTGGTCTTTCCTTAATTCGTATCAGTTAGTCACTTTCTTATATCTATGAACAGACTTTATATTAGTTTTTTTTCTTAATGGTTAAAAATACACAACTTATTCCCATCTTTGGGAAGTCACAAATGGCCTGGTATCATTAAATCAGTTGCTCACATTTTGATAGCTTACAACATGGGTTATAAAAAAAGGAATTATGCAAGTGATAATATTTTACAGTCCAAAGACATTGTAAAATTAAAATGACTATTAGTTGTTTAGCGTAGATTTTTATGCTTCAATGATACAGCTAATTCAATCTTCTCCTCGGGAAGGCAAAAATGGACTAGCCTAATTAAAAAAATTACTCACGTTTTCATAGCGTCGAACGTGTTTTCTGGATAAAGACAGAAATTAAAATTGCGCTCCGTGCTTCACGTTTCGGCTCTAATTTTTAGTGTCTCTTCTTAGGATTTGGCCGATACCGAGAAGCTGCTGGCCCCCGACAACGTAGACCGTGACGCGTTGCAAAATTATGCGCGCGAGGCGGCCGATTTCAGTACTAATTACCAGATGCCCGACCTGGAATTCGCCGTGAACCACTACGGACAACCGGACGTGGCCATGTTCGATTTTACGTCGATGTACGCGGCCGAATACGCGTCCAAAGTGTTGGAAAGGAACGGTCACAGACTGCTTATGATATTGGTGGGGGACAGTTTACTAGAGGTAAGCGATGTGTAACTCCAAGCGAGCACGGCATTCCGCTTTTATAAAACGCAGCGCCTCCTAGGTCTCTGTCCCCCGCGTGTGTCAGAGTTCTTGAAAGAAGTTATAAAAAATTGTTCTTATGCATTTTTCTACTTACTTCAGCAAAAGCTTTTTGCAAAATCAAAAAAAAGACTCGAAAATTAATTATTTAAAAAAATGATTAAACGCTTTTGCCCACATTGTGTATTGTCCAACAAAATTCAGGTTCGTTATAAATACAGAAGGAACTATATTAATTTTAAATAAGTCAAACAAAATAATAGAAATTTAATTAATAAAAATGCATCCTAGGACAAAATTTGCCTATCTAAGCCTAAACGTGAAATTTATAAACCTTTAAAATCTGCTGCCTGGTCATACGAACAACCAACCGGATCAAAATAGTTTCAAAAGTCAAAAGTTAACTATAGATAATTGTTTTTACTCTATTGCTGAATTCTTTGACCGCCTGGATTCCTGTGAGATGGTGAGAAGGAACAGTAGTTTGTCTAATACATTTTTAAAATTTTGTCACTGTCTTCTTTTACACCTCTATTGTGTGTCCCATTTTTTATGATTTTACGGAGTCACTTATTAATACAGCTAGCGTGTTGCAGTTTTGATGATCGAAGGCTAGTTTTTCATGAAATGAAGCATTTCTTAGCGATCTTGTATCTTTGCTGCTTGTTTATGCGTAAACTAGAAAATTGAAATTGAAATATTATGTATTACACATATATCAAAATTTGTCATTTTTAGAAGAAAACTGATTACGCCACTGATCATACGTATAAAAAACCCCGTCAGTTTTCACCTTTTCGATAAATTATTGGAAAATTGAACCACAGAGTTTCTTTCAACATCACTCTTTATCTAAAATCGGCAAATATTTCTGCTTTTTTCTTTTTATTTTATAAAAAGTAAGCTCGAGTATTAAATATTCACCATAAGAGTCCCATAAAGGTAAATTCTAACGTTTGCACCTTGTAATAATCTGCTCTGTTGTGTTGCAGCCCTTTTGGCCAACGGGTTCGGGTTGCGCTCGCGGCTTCCTCTCGTCCCTTGACGCCGCCTGGGCCATTCGTAGCTGGTCGATGGGTACGATCACCCCATTGGACGTGTTGGCCGAGCGGGAATCGATTTACCGGCTGCTGGCGCAGACCACCCCTGACAACCTGAACAAAGATTGGAAATCGTACACGCTGGATCCCGCCACGCGTTACCCGAACCTCAACAAGACCGTAGTGCTGCCCCACCAAACCGTCTGTCTCTACGACACAGATAATCCTCAGAACATTGACAAGATGAAGAGGAGTTCCTTGGATGCGAGGAGCGAGTTGCCCAAAAAACGACGTCGCGGTAATTGATTTAAATTAAAATAAATAGATTTATTGTTCAACAAGGAGAAATGATAATAAAGACTTAATTACTGGCTAGAAGCAACAAGAGAAACAAAAACGTTTTTCATCTGACTTACCCATATGTTCAATATATCACATTTCTGAATAACTTTGTTATAATTTGTACTTAGTATATAAAATTGTCGATTTTTTACATAAATTACTCTTGGGGATTTTGGAATTTTAAATCATGGGATTAATAAGCTGCTGGAACAGATTGATCTAGTCCATCTTGCTATGGAGGATATTGTATAGTGGATGTGAATATTCTGTGTTCCAGCGACCAAACATTAAACTTACTAAGCAATTGTTCATCCTCAATTGCGCATTCCGGATAACTATCCTCCATTCTAAAACCCCACAAGTTGCTGCAATTTGAAGGTGCGATTTGCTGCTTTTTCTAGTTGCTGTGATTTGCTGCATGACTACTTACAAGCGGAAGTTCTTCACAAATAAAGAACACGGTTGTAGACTGAAGACTTTTTTGAAATGAAGCTCATAAAATGCGAAGAAATTAACTTACCTTTACGTAATTCTAAAAAAACAAATTTTCTAACCAAATTTCATTAAGTTGAAATGCTAACATAAATTTTTAGTCGAATGAACCTACTAAAAAAATTACCAAATCGCCGCAGCTTCTTACCTAAAATTAGAACAAATTCCAATTTGATGCAGACCGGTTGCACGCAATTAATTGGTTCATAAGAACGGTTCTCGCTGCGATATATATGAAAATCAGTCTTTAAATGCCAGCAACTTACGCTGTACTTTCTCTATTGCGTCAATGTTAACTTTATAAATTGGATGTCATACTATAGATGCTCACTGAGTAATATATCCACGACATACTCAGAGCAGAATTTAACTGCTAAAAACATGTTCGACAAATGAGAGCGCGCCGTCAAACACATCGCGTTGCAGGAAACGTGGACCGGGACATATTGCTCAATTGGCTGACGGAGCAGCTGCGAGAGCTGGAAGGGGTGGGCGTGACTGACTTGGAGTCGGTGTTCAAGGACGGCAAAGTGCTGTGCGCGTTGATACACCACTACCGACCCGATCTCCTAGACTATGGCGCGTTAAAGGACAGCGAGCCTGCGCAGAGGAATCAATTGGCCATGGATATATTGGAAAAGGACCTGGGTGAGTTGCCGCGCACACGGCGGGAATTTTTGTAACGCTTGTGCGTTATCTCTGCGAAGGTATACCGCCGATAATGACTGGGGAAGAAATCACCAACACTGAAGACTACCTGGCTCTCGCTTCGTACTTGACGCAGGTGTACGATACGTTCAGGGGCGAGATACCTCACATCAAGCATCCCAAACTGGTAGGTAGTGTCCGTTTTGGTTGCGGGTGTGCAATGTTTTCCCATATTTCCCTACCGTGCAGCGTCGTAGACGGAAATTTCCTGTATCCGTTTTCCCGGATCCCGATCCCAGACCATCCTTGCGGAAGGATTATAGTCAAGAAATTGTACCGTCCAAGACGAAAAGCGGAAGAATTGATTTTTTGGATGTTACATATGCCGAAAATTGTGGAGACTATCATAAAAATGGTAAACCAACTAAAAGGGGCCACATGAGTCACTCATAAAATTGCCTTCGTTGTGATGGACATATAGGAATTTAGGCAAGGGACAACAGGGATGTGGGGTGTTTCCTAAATATGAATGCTTGCTATGATAACCATATAACATTGCTGCGAGGAGCAATGAAGGAATAAGTAGTGACTTTGAAATATTAAACAAAGAATCTTAACTGCCAATTGATAATACATTATATTAATGGAACTATAAAAAATTCAAGTTGGATTTCTTTTTTTTTTAATATATGGAAATATGTACATTACTGAAAATTCTTATTTCAAAGTTGTTCCTCAAACAGCGTTTCTCAGTTTTTTATTGGACTTGGAAAAGCAAGAATATCAATGACAATCCTTTTTTAATTTTATTTTAACATAACATGTTTATGATATGGTTTGGTGTTTACCAAATCAAGTTTTTTCAAGGAATTGAAATTACAAACTTTCACTAGATCACTTCGAACTTTTTTTGAGGCAAATAATAGGAGTAAAGTAAAAAAAAACAGTAATTCCAAAGTCAGGCAATTTGGGGATAAGAGTAATAGTAATAAACAGTAAGTAAGAATAAGTAGTAGGTTTTTAATACTGTACTTTGTTCTCTTTGTTTTTCATAGTAGTTTGTACAATGATTAAATTCTTGTTTCCTATATCTGGTATTTAAGCTGCTAGGATACTAATATAACTTTACTAAATATACAATTCATATTCAAATTGTTATAATTATCACAACTTGTGTCATTCTACAGATAACCCGATTTCTTTACATCCTTTAATGTCTCCACACATCCACAATTTTATAGCTTCATGTATTACCTTTCATTAGTTTTATATTAATTGTAAAAATTTACAAACATCTGCTTTTGATACTGAAATTATAGTTTTTCGAAAGACTTACTATGCCTTTGCATTTTTTGAAATAAGTGCCACTCATGCTTTGGTTTGTTTACATATACTTGGAATAACACTGTTTGGCTCCTGAAAACGTCCATTGCATCAGTCTTAGTAATATAAAATTGCAAAAACACCCTTTCACTTTCAAAGTCCAGATCTGTTCATCGTTAATTAACTAAGAATTATGAATTGTAGCTCAATCTCAAGATTGTCGCAAGATATCAATAAAACACCTAAAAAGAAAAATTATCTTGCATAAAAAAAAGAGGTTGGTGAAAGCAACGAGTCCGTTGGCCGTAATTTCACAGACCGTCAATCAACCTAAACCAAAAGAGTCCGGATTATGTGCGGAAGTCAACAATCAACCGCCCGAATATGCCGATAAATTTGAACTACTTGATCGAACGCATAAAGATGACGGGTCCCGACACATTTTCGAGGCCGGAATTGCCCCAGCGACGGCGGTTTGTTCCCGCGACGCGTCTGTTAAAATAAGCCTCGTCGAAAAGTCGAGCGACCAGGATGTCAAGTTCAGTAGCGTCGAATTTAAATCGTCCTTGAACGTCGTTAAAATCACTCCGAGGATTTGCGGCGGATTTTCGAGCGGCAAAAGAATTCGACAGATTTATATGAACGATAAAAGTTTTCTACGGAACGACAGCTCCAACGGGTCAGCCACCATGGGCAGCTCAAAGTTACGAGCGACGAATCTGCGTAGTTCTGTCCATCGGCTGAGGTATGCGGCGCAACGGAGGTCCGTCAATAATAGCCGCCCGGCAATAAAATGGCAACTGATCAAATGTCCCGGTGTCAGTGTCAAAAAGTCGAAGAAAGTTTGCGGGAAACGGATAGCGGATACCAAAATTCATTGGAACATGGCGTCGGTCGACGAATCTTCCATGTACTGCAGAGTGTCAGACTGGATCAGTCAGCATGATTTTAAAGGGGCGGATGCTAAAAACGATGTGGAAATCGATACGGTTAGTGACGTTTCCCGTATCGTGTAGCAGTATTTTTTAGCACAACTGTAAATCATAGCAGATCAAGCAAAAAATGAAATGGGCATTCTATAGAAAGCAAAATTCACCAACAGATATACAAACAATAAGAGCATTTACACATGAATTGGGTTATTATAAATGTATTCAACATGTATTCACACAAAAGCAATTTTTATGATTTTTTTTTAAATTATTAATTCTTACTTCTTTTACCTCGGTTTGGGGTTTGTTATGTGAATTTAAATTCAATGAATTAGTCGTTGATTTGCAAAGTTTATGCTGAGGTATAGTGAGCCGGTCAGGTCTAACGTTATAATCGTGGTTTTTAGATGAAGATGATAAAGTGTCTTTATTAGTGTGAATTTCAATTAAAGTGGCAAAGAGACTATCTGTGTCGCAAAAACAGTGGCTTACAATGAGTACGAAAAGGAGTTTAAAAAAAAGCAATACTTTGACCTGCGTAAGATGATTTTGGGTGAAGTTAAGCAAAATAGTGCAATTTTGATAAATTAAAATTAACAAAACTGCTTAATATACGAATTTATAAAGTCTAACATAATTCCCAATGTATTGCCTATGGGGACACCCGGTACATAGCCCTACCTATTTAAATTTGGGGGAATTGAAAAGGTAGTTGAATGATTCAATGGCAACAACAAAGAATATTTCTGATCTTTTAAAATTTTGTTACACGATCAACACAGTTATAGACATAGTAACAGAGTAAGCCATTTTTGGTGGCAACTTATTGAAAAATACAATCGATCTGTTGTTAATTTTACTTCAGGTATTGATGTGCGACCTGGGAACCGATTTAACCTCGGTCACTCGAAGAGTTAATAGAAAGGGAGAGTATGACGACATTAAAATCGAGGAGAGGACGGACGTGGTAAAGTGTGAAAATCCGGTTGCCTCTGACGATAGCATCTCCAGTCTCGCGCGAAACGTTATAAAACGCCAAATTCCCGTGCGGCAGACATCTGAGTTTGCGCGCAATGTGTTGGCTCCCACGTCGTTTTCCGTTATCGTCGAGAACACCGAATCTGTAGGTTGCCACTACTTGGTTACAATCCTTCGCTTGCCGAACTTTTGCCAGGCTTTTTTCCCATCCCTATTACCCCTACAACAAAGTCCGAAAAATTTGTTACTGATTAGTATTACAAGTATTACAAGTGATTGGTGGGGCGCGTTTAGGTTGTTCCGCGTAATTCCAACGACTAAGGGTAAATTGCAGAAAAAATCACTATCTACACTGGAAAATTCCCCAAAATTCCTGGGGCGTTTTTACCCCAAAATTTCCCGAAAAATACTCAATTTCTTTTAAAATTTTAAATTTCAAGCAACAAAAATATATATATTTTGTCATTGCTTTATTTTTTTGGGAGCTGGTACAAAATGCAAACGAATGACTGAAGAAGCTCATCAACGTGTTTTAAACGACCATGGGTGTGTTACTTAATAATCCTCTGTTTACCGGAGGCTTGCTCCCAGTTCATGATAAAAAAACTAAACCCCAGTTTCATACGCCTATAGTACTAAAATAATTTCTACCAGAACAGCGTTTTGATAGCTTATTCTTAAATTAGCATATTTTTACTACCACTGAGGTTGTATACCAAAGTTGAAAGTTAAAAAAGAAATTTCCCAGAATTTTGTCACATATTTTCATTCTGCTCCCGATTGAACCCTCAAAATTTCCCAAAATACTCTAGAATTCCCCCCATTTTCGAAATATCCTAAAAATATTCTAAAATGCTTTTGAAAACCGTATTTCTACGAAATTCCTCGAAAATACCGTAAAATGTTCACAAATACCTTGGAATTTATTGAAATACCCTAAAATATTTTAAAATAACTTGATTTCGTCTGAAATTCAGCACCCTTATACACTAAAATACAACAGTGATTTAGCCTTTGCCGGAGGATCACAGACTGTTTAAAACGTCGTAGCGCAACAAACTTGATTCGGGGTAAATTCTGTAGGAGCTGCCGCCTGAGAGCCACAAGCGGTCAGATTTTAGTTTCAAGTCGATCAGAACGTACCAACCGTCTCTGCCGACGGTAGCACCGGTAACGTCCAGGCCGTCCAGCCGGCATAAGCGCCACGCGGACGTTATGACCACCAAAGTGGGCAGTTTGGAAAAAAAGCAAAGAAAGCGTCGGACCCTCGAACGTGTCGGTCCCAGCATTGTAAGTAAATCGCTCACGGTGTTGTCGGTTTTTTGGGCGGCGCACTGGTTAGTCGGACTGTTGCCTTGCCACGTTGCCGATCTCTTGTCGACACTTTTCATCTGTTGTATCTGCTACTTTTTGCTTTATTGAGTAGTTTGGTTTTAACATTTTAACATTTGTATTATTTCCGTTCTGTTATTTTAACATTACATTAGTGCATGTTGTGTGTATCAGTTAACTTGTATACCGTTTTTTTTATTGTAAATAATATATAGTACTACACTTTTCTAACATTTATTTTTTAGCGTGATGTTTCTCAACCCAATTTGTTTTTTTCACAAAGATTTTGGTTTGATGGAAAGGGTCAGTAAAAACACTGAACCATTCTTAGCTCCTTTGTTGACGTATTATACAGGAAGCCGTAAAAGCCGAAAAGGTTTCAGTGTTTTTACGGGCCCTTCCAACAAAACTTAATTTATTTTTTTGTTGCTACTTGCTAATTTTCTACGGCGAGGCGGACATAATTGGGACGCCACTGTACCGTGTGGTTTAACTTAATTTTCCCGTCCCCTTTCCTGTTCCAGATAATTTCCCGATTCCTCGACGGATTTAAGGAAGCCCTCGTGGTGGGGTTTTTTATAATACTTTTCGACTTTTTTGTAAATCCCGAAGAGTACGTTAAAACGCCTGCGTCCGTATTTGAAGAGTGGGGTATTTTTTGAAAAAAAAAGGGTAATAAAACGGTAACAAACCCACCATTGTTTTTATTTTCCACCGACAGAGGTAACCTTGACCGGGCGTCAGAGTAGTTCAAATGAACCGCGCCCAAACAACAATTTTACCCTAAGGAGTAGGTACTTTGCACTTAACCCCACAACTATAATAATATTCCTGGCAAGTAAACCTATAAAATTTATCCCGAACCAAGGTTGAGAGGCAGAAGGTGTTGGAGGAAATAGCGTCGAACCGTGCCGACAGGCAGAGCAAGCGTAAGCAGCAAAGGCGGAGACAGACCGAGCAGTTCCTAAAAAGTATGCAGATGCTGCAGGCGAACGCGAAACCGGACCACTCGCAACCGTTCGAGGACTACTCTATATTCTTGTACCGGCAAACCGCGCCCAAGTTCGAGGACCGCGTCAAAGACCTGGAGAAACAGTTCACATACGTTCCCGTAAGGGGTGTGGCGTTCGTGTTGACGTTTAACGTTGCTTCCAGGGTGGCTACTAACATTCCTCCGTCTCTGCATTTCCTGTTTCGGGATTACTCCACGGTGATACTGTCGAATTGATATCCCTGTTCAATTACTCGCTCGCCTCTTTGTTGATTTCTTACTTTTTGCACACTTCCCGCAGGACCATGAAAACCGTGTTACCGGGTTAAAACCTCAAACTAACACCAACGCCGACGAAGATATCGCGTCGAAGATCCGAAGTTTGGAGGACAAGTGGACGAACCCGCAGCCGACTGAGAAGAAACCCAAAGACCTGTTGAGAGCCATCGGAAAAATCGAAACGTCCGACTGGAACATAAAGGAAATCGAAAAGAAGATCTTGGAAAACAAAATCGGCAAACCGTCGTCCGCAAACAAAGACAAGGAGAGGGTGCCCAAGTGGAGCCGCGAGGAGTTCCGAGCCAGGCAGACTAAGATGGAGAAGAAGCACTTGGACAGGCAGGACAGTAACGAAGGTGAGCTCCTAATGGGAGAGAGCTGAAGAGTTTCACAATGCGCGTTTCTTCCAGCCAAATATGCCGACATCGACAAGAACATAAAGCAGCTTGATCTCAAACTCAAAGAGGGCACCACTAGGGAACTCGGGCAAAACAAGGTGGCCTCCATCACTCAAAAGCTGGTGAGCAGGGTGCCTGTCGACGAAACCAAACCTGCGGTAGAAAAACCAGTAAGTTGCGTGTTTATTTTCGGTTGGTTTGCTTTAAGTCCGATGATTTAGTCCCCGAAGGCCCCATTTAATTTGCCGCCGCAGAAGGCGTCAGAGTTTTGCCACTTTTGCAGCAAACGCGTATACCTGATGGAACGTCTATCCGCCGAAGGAAGGTTCTTCCACCACGGATGCTTCAAGTGAGTATTTTCACGATTTCGTCGCGAGTTACGTCATCAACTGGGTCGTCTAGGTGCCAGTACTGCCACACGCAGCTGCGCCTCGGTTCCTACACGTTCGACAGGGACGGGCAATACGGTCATAGGTTCTTTTGCATCCACCATTACGGCATGCAGGGGGAACTGCCGCAACCCATTCGCGTCGCGAGGAAGCCGTCCCAACGAGGCCTTCCCGAAGAGAAACGCGCCAACGACAAACAGCTGTCGGGTGTGTCCGGTGTAGATTTGCTGGACAGAGGTCAGTAGGCGTGGCGATTCGTATCGATAGAGGGATTTAGTGGGTTTGTTTCAGTCAAAACTCCCGAGCGAATCGAGTTTTCCAACTTGTCGACGGGCAACATATCGTCGGACCATGAGGAGCCGTTAAGTCAAATGGACGAAGACGAATGGACGGATAAAAATTTTGGCGCATCGTGCGCCGAACTGGACGATAGTGACGACTCATCGTCGAGCTTGAGGTTGTAAATCGTCTCGGTGTATTGGGTATTCCACTAACAATAACTCTCGGCTGTATCGTGGGAAGTATTACCTGCAAAGAGGTCAGGATAAATTGTTAGAAAATATTTACAAGTTCCTAGAACGGACGCCAGACGACGTGAGCCCTGTGAGGAAGAAGAAAATGGTCTAGGGAAGAGATATTGCAAATAATGGCATCATAATCTTCAGAAAATTTGTGTTTTTTTTTTTACTTTAACAAGAGCTAGGTCATGTTTAAAAGATCGATGTTTACTCTGTATTCTACGCTAGACGCTAAGGAGTGTCAAGTCGAACAAAATTTAATGGGAAATTTACAAAGAAAACCTCGTCTTTATATCTATCTTTTTTCAAAGAAAGAGATGATATAGACATATTTGATATAGGTAGCAGTAATTATTTCAAATGTAACGTTTTTCCAAAGCTTACATGCTCTGACATCCAAATATTAATATTGTTCTCAATATTAAAATAAATGAATTAATAAATAATTATATTTATTAATGTAAACAAAAAAAACAGTAATGGATCCAAACAAGAGCCTTGCGGAACTCCACTGTTATGCTATGTTATCAATATATTGGAAAACCGCTTAACATTAAGTTTACGCAAAAGAATATAGTGATCAATCTGATCTTTTGAATTTAACATGACATTTAAATTTTAACTTCGTGCACTGTAGGGTCAACTGTCAAACCGTTGCGCCGCCTAGCGGACGGACGTTAATATTTTTTTTTCGCAGATGCAGCCGAAAGTTATTCTTAGTGTGATACCCGGTAGATTGGACCTTAATTTTCACCGCGTTGTTACAGCGACACCGACAGCGATGACGAGGACGCGTACGACGACGCGTTGGAGGAACCCGCTACTAAAGAGGGCACGATGAAGTGGGCGGAGCGACTGAAGAACAGCTACAGGAAAGGGCGCGGTTCTTATTCAGACGGCTACAGTAGCTCGGATCACTCGAGTTACTACGAAAACACCAGCGACGGTGAGTTTTAACCTAATTTTATTTGCCTAAATATTTGACTGAGTATGAATAGTATTAGCTAGGACTTCGCCCTAAGGCTAACATTTATTATGTATTATTATTTATTAACGTCTCTATTCACCATAAATTACAAAGGAAAAAAAAGAAACGATAGTAACTATAACAATTGCATGACATGGTGAAAAGGTGAAGTGTCGCCCTAATGGACATTTTTAAGCTTAACCTAACCTAAGCAATAATAATTTATACTAAACCCTATCGATAATCCTAAAGAAAAACAACATTGTTATATAAATACGGAATGTTACTCTCAGATAACAACTGATTCTTGAGTCTCTTTTTAAAATTTTTGATCGAATATTTAAGCAACCGAGCTTCATGACAACAAAAAAATAAATAAATAAACGAGCAATAAAAGGTGCCAGGAGGGAAGGGAATTAATCTTTTTGTGAAGGAACTTTCCTCTATTGGGGATTGTTGGCAGAAGTCAGTCTAGTAACTCTCCCAATTGAGGGGTTCAATGCCAAAGGTTGATCTCTGTTCCCCTGTCTTTCTCTTATTTTTCTGTCCCTAGTCGATAGTCCACCCTGCTCTGACACCTCTACAACTTGCTGCTTTAGGGTATCTATTCCAGATTCGTCCTCAAACGCTATAAATTCGTCGTCCACATTGTCTTCAAAAGAATATTCCTTCGAGTACTTTGTCGTTGGAGTAGGGGATGGGCTTGAATAAAAAAAAGGGATTATCTGTTAACGATTGGTTCCAAGAACTCTGCCTTGTTTAATGTTTTTAGTATCTCAAATGTAAATTCCTTTTTATTCACCAATAGTTTGTTCTTTCGCATATTGTCACTGAACTGTTTAAAAATTCATATAGAATTTTATTTACCGCTTTCTTTTCTTGTGTCACACTTATGCCAGAATTTTTCAAATTTCTGGCATTTTAAAGTACATAATAAACTTTACTAAAATTAGTCTGCATTTCCCATGTTTCTTTTCACCATTTCTAAAAAAATTATCCAGATCGCCAATGTTTATGCTAACTTCTAGCCTATTATTGAAAACATCCAGCTAACCAAAACTTTTCTCGATGGTACACTTTCTTCCTCAGAAAGTCCAAACACAAGAATATTTTTTCTCTTTAATATTTCATCTTGAAATGCAATTTTTTGTTTAAGTTTCATTTTTTCTTTCCGCCTGGAGGACGTAACGGAGCTCATTTAATGATATTCCGGCTACAGCTCAGTTTCGTAGATAACCTTAACAGCGGTCACTTACTTGAAAACCAATACATTCTCTAATTTCTTGAGTCACCTTACATTAGTAGTATGAAAAATCCAACGACAAATCACTTACTTTAAACCACTAGAATTTGGAAATTTTCGAGACCAACACATCGACACACGTGCTTCTAAATCCCATATAGCATGATTTTTATTTCAAGCAAAAGTATATTTATTTTTGTTATGATTAAGCAGCAACTAAATCCGACACTTCATTGCTGTTGCAGACTCAGACTCAGAGACGGCGACGGAGGGCGAGGAAGAGATCCGCGCGAGGGAGCTGCGCAAGAAGGAGGTTTGCGTCGACCCGCCGGTGCCGCAGACCGACACCGGCACGGATACCGAGGTGAAGCACTATTCCGACACTCATATTCCCGACATTATCTCGCACCATAACCTTAGTTTGACGAAAAATAAATCCTCAAGTAACGTTTCTGCCAATTCTTTAGAGTTCAATAGCGCGGAGTCCGATTTGGACTTGAACATGAACAAAACCGGCGACGTCGTCGTGGGAAAACTGACGTTAGCGCCGGAGGCGCGACCGAGCCCCGCCCCACTGGCGAGGAGCGCGACGGCGGGCCACGTGACCGCGGCGCCGAAACGTAACTTTGTCGTGCCGTCGAAAGAGAAACGAAAAAGTTTCGGCACCGAGTTCGTGCCGAAATTTAAAACGGAAGAGCCTCTGCTAGTGATCAAACGCACGCCGAGCAAAATCAATTTACCTAAAGAGGTGGGCAAGCCCAAGGTGGCCGTCAACACTAAAAAATTGGACGCGACGAAGTATTTCGGCAACGCGAGTCCGAAAATTAAACGAACCGGCACGGTCGCTGCGCAGAAGCGACCCGCGCTTATCAAACAGAGCAGCCTGCCGGAAACGCAGAGCGAACTCGAAAAGAAAACGTTCAATTTTGAACCGGAAGACGAGGACCTGAACGACATCGACCATTACATCGAAGATCTTTTGTCGAAAGAAAGCGAGCTGCAGAAGCCGATCGATCTGGGCGTTGATGAGAAGGAACACGAAGACGAGCCGGTGTCGAGCAGCATCGAGGATCTGTTCGCGGCACTGGAAAAGGAAACGGACGTCGCGGAGGAGGTGGTCGCGTGCAAAGAGTCCGAGGAGAAAATTGACGATCTGTTGAAGTGGATGGAGGAGCTGGATCACGACACGCCCGAGAGGAAGGTGTACCGATCCGTCAGCGACGTAAAATACAAAAATCTCGAAAAATTGCTGAAGGCGGACTCGGAAACGGACAAAATTATCGGAAAACTGCCGCAGCGCAACCTCGAGCAGTTCGAGAACTATTTAAAGGGTAAGAAGTTGTCGACGGAAGAGGGCGTTCCCCGCTTCGGACTAAGTCGATCGAAAACAGAGATCCGGTTCAACCGCGGCCAGCTGAAACAGCGCACCTCCGTCGACTTGGACTCTGTGAGCAAAGTCAACATTAAATCGGTGCTGAAAAAGTTCGAATCGATGGAGCGCGACGACAAGCCGAAACTCGAGAAACCGGCGACCAAGAGATTGTCGTTGGGCAACTTTAGATCGTCTACGCCGGATTTGGAAAAGAAACCGCCGCTTGCGAAGCCGAAACCCATAAAAAGCACCATTCAACAATTTGAACGCGCACCTAAAGAGTTCAAGCAGTCAAAATACAAAACGCGCCAACCGACCAAAGTGTTGTCCACCAGGTACGACGAGGCGGACGCCCTGAAAGACCTGGAAAAATTCGTGGACGACACCATAGGCAGTATCGGAGTCGACGTACGTCCGAGCAACGGCGGCATCGTCAAGAGCAAAAGCGACTGGTTGGTCAACATAACGGTATCCTCGAGAATCAATCCGGAATTTATTCCGCGAGAGACGGAAGATCAGGAAAATATCGACATTGAAAACGCCAAGCTGGACTTTGCCCTGGAACTCAAGGGTTTCGAGGATACCCTCTCCGCGTTGAACGACGAGAGCAGCGTCAGCGAGAGCTTACCCCACGACTTTTCCAAAGCGGTAGAATCCACGGACGCGTCTCTAACGGAACACGACGTAGTCATTCAGGGCAGTAGCGGAAAAGGCCGCACTGATTCTAAAAAATCGATGGACAGGCAGCCAGTAACCGTCGCAGATGATAAAGGTGCCAATGAGATAGAGCAGATGTACGCGACGGTCAACAAGACGGCAAAGTCGGTGCCGTGCTCGCCACCGGTGCCCAGAAGGCGTAAGCACTCAAAGGACGAGTCTCAAACGTTGTCGCCACCCGCGAGACCGGCGAGACAAAAATCGATGGAGCAGATCACTTTGCCGGTAGTACCGCAGAGGAAAAGGTGCGCTACCATGTCGCCAAAGCCACGAAGGAAGATTTCGCAGGAGCAATGCAAGCCGTTGGAGACGAGGAGCACATCGAGCGAGAACGTGGCAGTCAGAAAAGAGGTAGTGACGTCGTTTGAGTTGCCTAAACCGCAAGCTGTAAGTGTTAGCGGTGGCAGGCCAGAGTATTCGTCCAAGTTTCCCGCCAAGTACGGCAGGAAGGACAAGGACAAAGACTGTCGTTTACAATAGAGTCCCCTTTTTTACGTTTCTAGTCGATTTTTGTACGCGCGCGAGTAGAAATATTCTGCAACCGGCTTCGGATTGATCGTTTTCGCTTCTGTCATATAGTTTATATGCCACGTTGAGCCACATTCACAGAGTTTATCGTTGTTGTATTTTGTTCACGTTGCGTTTTGCAAAATGATTCCTTCGGGACGAGAATGTTGTAGTTAACGGGAAATGAGTTTGGCTTCCTCCCCCCCATTCAACAATCACGTTAAAGCAATGGTATATACGACCAAAGGTAATTATGACACGGAGTGTGCGGTGAATTTTTGTTTTTTTTTATGTTGTTGATCGGTGCAGTTAATCCATTGCTCACGTGAGTGTTGCTAACTCACTCATCCGCGTTGTTCTTTTTTTTATTAATGTCCTACCCCAAAACGCATGCGCCATAGGGATTTGGTTGAACTGTTGGGTGAATCCTAATATGTTTTCAATTTTAAGTCCCACAAAGTGTTCCAGTTTCGGAACCTGTTAAATTCAATCATGAGTTGATTCTCCATTACTTATTTAACTTTAGTACTATATAAAATTTACTATACACTATACTATAAAAATTTAAAATGTCGCCAATGCGATTACACTTAACGTTGTGAAAATCTACGCAACAGTGGATTTTCCGCCTCTGAATTTGGGATTAAAAAGTAAATGATTTATTCTTCTGGGAGCATTTTAATAAATTGTTTTAAGTTTGAGTTTTTTTAGGAACACCAACTCTAGTGGACTTTCTACCCGCGAACGGTGGGTGATAAAGTAATCAATTACATCTACTAGAAAAAGTAAACAAGATCAACAAAGCAATTTTACTCTTTTTTTTTACATTTTTCTTCTCCAAATAATAAGCGACGCACCTGCTTTCATTTTACTTCGGCCGATTCGAAACAACGATCAAAGCATATCTTGCGCATTGACGATATTATAAGTGACGTCAAGCGCGGAGACGAACCTTTCCGAATCTAGTGGAATTGTTATCGAAGGACAAGTACACAGTCACGGCCGCGCTGCGATTCAAAACTACTTGCAAAAATTGAACTGTATTTCACCAAATGATTTTTTTAAATCATTTATGTGCGCTAAAGCTTAAAGATTTCAGTTTTAAATTATCAGTCCAGAAGTAAAATGTCTTCTGTCGGGCGTTTTTGTACTATAACAATAAGAGGCGGACCACAGTCAGTGCCAACGCTGCTACGTCTAACTCCATGTTTCGTTATTTTCGTTGCTGTTTTTTATACGTCGTTATTTCGTAACCTATACACAGCTTGATATCCTAACCCCCAACGCAAAGCTTTTCGCAAATACGCCCCGCCTCCAAACGACGAGCGCTCCAATAGTTGACTTGTACCCTCTTTCTCTCTCGTTCCAGATCGTGACCGACGAATCTAGCTCGGACTCGTCCAGCGAAATACGCAATTCTGCTACGGAAATTTCGACCGATTCGGAATTCGCGCAGGACGACCCCACTCCGACAAGGGAGATACCTTCCATCGTATTCAACGACTTCTATGTAACAAAAACGAGAGGTTCCGGTGCGCGCAACTACCCCAAAAAAATCCAAGTGACCAGCGGATACCTCCAAAGACCCACCAAAGAGAAATCCAAGCCCAACATCGAACTCAAATTGACTCCTCTGGTGCCGTCGACGTCCGTCTTCAAAAAACCTGCCCTGTTACCCCGGACCGAAGGTTACGCGTTAAATCGGACTCAAAGCACGGGAGGTATCGCCGCCAAAGTTTCCTTGGAACTGAAAAAGAAGTACTTATTAGGGGAGAACGGCGCCGGCAGCATCCAGAAATCCGGAAGCGCGTCCACGCTCGATACCAAGTTCAAGTCGTTCCAAACCACCATTTCCGACTGCCAGAAGTTGCTCAAACCAGCGACCGAAGTGAGCGCGAGCATGCAGATGTTTTGCAGCAAGTTGGACGAGAGACACTCGCCCCTCGCCTCGCCCCAATCTTCGGTGTTTTTCGCCAACAAAAAAGAAGAATCACTACCGCCACCAGACATCACGATCACCACCACCGTGGAGAAAACTGATCGAGAGGAACACTCTTCGGATAGCTTGTCTGTGTCCAGCAGCGATAACGAGGAAGCTAAAGCGCCATTCCAGTTCGACAACATCCCTCGCGTGGAAGTTCACCATGCCGACCATAAAGAAGAAACCCTGCTCGATTCCCTCTCAGAAGTTGTCCGAAAAGAGGAACCGAGCCAGGAGCACGGCAAGTCTGTCGGAAGCGATAAGAAATCGTTGAATGGGCCCAAATCCCTTCCCGATCTCGAGGGCGCCCTGCCCGAGATTCACCAGGCGCTCCATGTGAAAAAATCCGACAAGGAAGACTCGCCCGAGGAAAACAGAAGCTTGAAGAACGCGAGCGGCAAGAGTTCCCCGACCGCACTGACGGAAACCGAACTGTCCGACTGGGCTCGGGACGGGAACGTCTCCGACGACATGGAGTTTGATTTCAGTCACGGCATAGGTAAGAACAAACTGCAGGAGACTACGAAACCCGGCGGCGTGACGTCGACGGGCGTCCTGGACGCGAACCTAGATAGTATTGAATTTATGGACTACGGCACAGAGACGAGCAGTGATGACGCCGTGGTCGACAGTCAGAATGGCTACGTTCTTTTCAAGGACGAGGACGAGCTGGCGGAAGATAGTCTGGCGCCGAACGTGTGTGAGATTTTGGAAGCCAAGAACGTTTACTTGACCCAAATGACAGACCAGCGGTATGGCGGCGAGGTAATCGACTTGAAACCGACCGATTTGGAAAAGATGAAACGGCAACCGCGCACGGAACCAGAAGACGACAGTCTTTTAATCATCGAGACCGGCAACACGACGGAAGAGAATACTTGCAGTGATTCGACGGTTAAAAATCTGACAGAAATATCGGCGAACAAGGATAAACCGCAGCCTTTGAAGCTCGAGAACTTCCAGAAGCAGAGGCTCGAGGAGAAATTGGCTATGGTCAAGGCCGAACAGGCCCTGCTGAAGGAGCAGAAGATGAAAGAGAACTTGGAGTTTAACGAGCACTGCCAGAGGCTGCAGTCGAAGATCGAGTTCGGTAACGCGAGGGATTCCATCGACATCAGAAAATCGCGGCGGAAGAGTCGCACCGAGTTGCCGTCGATCGCCGCAGTCAAACCAGACTTGATACAAGAGGAGGAGAACAGACCGGTACCATCGAAGGAAATAACTTTGGACCTGAAATCGGCCGTCCAAACACCTGACTTGTTGTACAAGAAAGAGAACATTAAGAAGGAGCGCGACGACAACCAGAGGTTGATCCAGGAGATGGTGATGAATAAAATGAAGGCAGAAAACAAGAGTCTGGAACGAAAGAAAAGAAACCGCTTAGGAGTAAACAACATGAGCCCGTCCAGATCGCAAGAGCAAAAGACGGATATCGTTTCCCAGATCAACAGGAGCAATTTGGAGAAAAGTTTGAAATCCACTCCAGACTTGCTGTCAAATTCCATCCCTTTACAAAATTCTCAAACAGTTAATAAAACGCTGAACAACACCAGGCCGCTGAGTGTGTTCTCTACGTTCACGGATGTTAAGCGGGTCCAAGACATGAGTGTCGAAAAAGGTAGCCTGCCGGATATACGCAAGAACTTGTTTGCCGAAGCGCCGAAGGCCCCGCCCAGATACAACAGGCCGTCGGATCCTAGCAGAACGGCCGAAAAATTAAAAGAGAGCGCTAAAGCTCGGGCCAAGCTGTTGTCGAACGAGGATCTCGGACTGAGTCCCGAAGACAAGCTTAACAAGTTGCGGGACAAGTTCAGCCGGAAAAATAAAGACGAAAACGTTATTCCTCTGATACAGGAAAGCATAGAGTCGCTGGTAATCAACACGGAGCGGCGGAATTCCTTGTTGTACGCGAAGGACACCCTAAGCAAGAAACGCAACGGCTCTTTTAGGCGGTCCAAAAGCCGCGACGAAGAGGGCAAAGCTGCGGAGTACACGAAAGCCGATTACGACGAATACCCGACTAGGACAAAGTCCGTGTCGGAGTTTCCCAAGGCCGTTAGGTGCGGCGAGCAAAAAGACGGTGAAAAGAAGATTTGCAAGTCGGATCCCAATCTGTTGGATGCAGCGCCCCAATTAAGAAAAAAATGCAAAGACAGGGAGAGGCGGAAGAGCATCACCAAACTCATTGCCAACATATTCACCAAAAAGAGTCCCACCGGCAACGGGAATAAGGGACTCTTCGCGAGATTATCGCCGAAAACAAAATCGGTTTCGAAGGTAAGAGTGACGGCGTCGCATTACTTTTTTTTTTCATTTGGGCCGATCCCCTTCTTCAGTTTAGAGAGAATTTGTTTTGAAATAAAGAACCGAGGGATATCGATTCGAAAGAAGAAAAAATGATGCATTTTTTAAGCATTTATTGAATCAGTTAAATTTTAATTTTTAATCAATATTTTTCAGTCTTGCACGGAGTTGGACATGATATTACGCGTAAGACATAATTTTTAGCCGCTCGTTGTGTTTTTGTTTACGTTTTGGCCTGATATACTCCTGTTAAATAAAAGGTGATTCGTCTGAAGAACATTTCAAATACAGAACAATCATCTGCTATTTAACTTTTAGCATGATCTGTGTTTGTGTTTGTGTCTGTTAAATTTAGTTAAATTATCTGAGCACCGGATAGAGTGGGAACAATACGTCGAAAACCACCATGTCACTGTTGATACAGACCGGTGAACATGACTGTAAATGTTTTTTGTTTGTGCCTGTCTTCCTATCTAAGCACGTGGTTACAGAAGCTAGAATAAGTAGAACAAGTAGCAAAAGAATATTTAGTTTTAAAAAAATATACTAAAGAGTTGGGGGTTTTAGTTGGAGCAATTTTGCTATTGTAAATATCTGTCTGGAAATGTTTTTTACTTTTTTTCTTTAAGTTTCTAGACGGCCAAGGACTACCTGGAATAAAATTAAAACTGCGAATTTTATTATGTGCTTGATAAAAACTGATTTTGGCAAAAGTTCAAAAAAGTATCAAATTCCATTGGTATTCGTTAGACTAGGCATGTCTAGTGATTGAACTTCTCTCGATATTGCTGAGGTCGCAGTAAAATCTTTCTTCATTGAAAATAGTAGATTATATACACATTGTCTCAACTAACTGGTGAATGTGGGTTATCATTGGATCAACTAAATTTTGTGTTGGCCTTTCTATACCTTGTGTGGGTACTGGATGCATAGAATGTGACTCTGTTTGACAAACTTAATCTACGTAGGAAATTGCAAGCGAGGATCCTCAGAGGAGGAACAGCGTTTCCGAGAAAATCGCCCCCAAGAGGGAGTCAACACCACCACCGGTGCCACCTTTACCCAGTAATTACACCGTCAAAGGAACTGGTAAGGAACACGCAACTGTAGGTCGTTGTTAAAGTGACACTCAATTGGTTTTGTCCCAAGATGAAAGCTCCGACGCTGAACCGGAATGGCGCAGGCTGGATCAGAGTTCATGCGACACCCTGGACAAATCGGGCATTCTGGAAACGTCGACGTCCAGTTTGACAGGCCGCAAGGGCGGCAAACACCGTCGGCAATCGAGACAAGCACAGCTCAAAAGGTATTCTTCTACACGTGTCTCTCTAGCACCAGTACGTGATCTAATAACTTCACTAACTGTACTAACAATTTAGACATCGGATGGCTCAAGAGATTCAACGGAAACTGGAAGAGACTGAGGTAAAGACCAGAGAGTTGGAACAACGAGGGGTTTTAGTGGAGAAGGCTTTGAGAGGCGAAGGTGCAAATGAGTGCATGAAGGACGAATCTGAATTGTTACAAGAGTGGTTCGATCTGATGAAGGACCGAACGGAACTGAGACGTTACGAGAAAGAGCTGATGATACGGGCGCAGGAACTGGAACTGGAGGATCGTCACGCTCGATTGCAGGCCGAGCTGCGGGAAAGGCTCGAGGCCGGTGAGTGGTACCGGGACGGCAGATCACAAAGGGTTTCAGGGTAACCAGGTTTGGTTGCAGGCACAAGCAAGACAGAGCAAGACACCCAAACGGAACAGGGTATCATAAACGAAATGTTGGATATTGTCGCGAAACGCGACTCGCTGATCGCGGTTCTCGAAGAGGACAGAGTGAGGTTAGGTTCTAACCCGTGTCGCATGCTCTTATAACATTAAAAAAACCGATAATGTCTTTTCAATTTGGTAAATACCACGCGCGTTTCAGCGCTTCTTCTCATCGTTCATCAATTGATGAAATGGTTTTCAACCCCAAATTAAGTCATATTGAGAGCTGTTTAAAAATCTAGGTCATCCCTACTTATGAAGAGTTTGAGGTTGTGTAGGACCGTCGAATCTAGGTCTAACAAGCGCCGCCAAATTACGCACATCTATATTATATAAAAACATAGCGCAGTTGGGGTGTTAACTAGACGACTCATTGTTTTAAAAGAAAAACGTAAGCCTGTTATAACTGGTACAAGTCCATAATGTTTATTAATAACCTTGTAAGGTACAGACAAGAGAGAAACAAGAATGCTGCGCACAGAATTTATTGAGACTCTAAGAGCAGGTGTTTTAATTTTTTTCTTAAGTGTAAGAATTGAATGATCAAAATCAGGCAGCAAAACGAATGCTTAATGATTGTTTATTAATTTTCGCAATTCTAAGCAGTTTCGTTTCGTTTAAGTATGAAAAGCCAGTTTTTTGTTTTAGTTACTTTATTATTATTATTTATTGTTCATAAGGAAATACAAATGCAGTTTTAATTATTTTATAAATAAGGCTTAATAAATGCAGTATTCTCCTGTTCCACGTTGAGCTATTGCAAGTTGTACTACGGATTTCAAAAGTAGATCTCAAGCATGAGTTTTAGATTTTATATATTCTTCATTTATTAAAGAAACTGGTCATATATTTGATAGCATGTGGTAACATCAAAGAATCACAAAGCACAACGTTTTTATTAGTTGAGTTCATTTTTTATTCAAAGTAAGATCCAAATTTGTAGAGAATATAAAATATATATATTATTATTTATTCGAAAGCATAGTTGAAAGTTGCGGGCTTGATATTACCTTGATATTTTATCATTAAACACGGCGTTAAAAAGTAACTACAAAAAACATAATAGAAAATCGACATCAAATAATAGTAGTAGGGTAGAATTTGAACTAAGTTTCTGATCAAGCTTCTTTTAAAAGTCGTGTCTGTTAATCAAACGAAAATTGAACCGCTGTCTTTACCGTTTACATTTGTTGTAAATTAACTTTGCATTGGGAAATTACGTAGTTGTTTCTACAATTTGATTTTTCCAGATATTCCACCGAGGACAAAGACTTGGAGGAGCAAATGCTCACCAAGGGGTTAATGCTGACTCCTATTGCGAAGACTTCAGATAAATAAATATTTACTTAATATACTTTTTAAAGATTTCATTCACGATTAGCCGGGCCTAGAGACCAACATTGACCGCAACCAAGCAAGTGATATTAAAAGATCGCTGTATATACATTGTGACGTGCCTATTTTTTTACACCTCCAGTGATGTATTACTATGTAATTACTAGTACTAGTCCTCCGTTAATGATGATTTTTACAGCTGGAGCTTGCAGTTTTATTGGGAATTGTAACGATTGTGATGTGAATTGTATTTTTGAACTAAGGAATTGTATAGACAGTGTACAGAAGATATATTATTTTGTAAACGCATACGTGTAATATCATTTCTGTGTGAATATATTGCTTTTTTACCGTTTAGTCGGTTTTTTTTTCATTAAAAATTAGTTTCGCTCTGTAGCGAATTGCCGTATTCCGTCGTCGACTACCTTTTTATTAACTCCATTATGAACTAGGATTGAGGTCACTCCCAAATTACTAAGGTCGCTAATGTTGCGGTGTTCGTCGTCGAAAAAGAGCATCTCGCTAAAACTCTTTCCTGAAGCTTTTTGTATGCTGAAACCACGTTCCGGTTAAATCGAACCACGTCCCGTCGGCAGCCTTACTTTCGAAAATGTGTTACTTTACAACCAGGAAAAATCTCTTTATATTTAAAATATCGGTCCCAGCCAAACAATTCAATGAGCTGTCTGGCTCCTTTGATTTCACCCGTGCGGGAGGCGATTCCCAACTCGTAGCCTTGTTCCTTCAGATCTTGGAGCACACTAGGCACCTCGGGATAACACTGCACTTGGGAGCCGTATGAGTCGAAGATTTTGCCATTTTGTCTGTGAAGATACAGAAATTGAAAGTTTTCTGTACACCACTGGAAAAGGGCATCCTCGAAGTAGCATTTTTATTACGAGCAGTGTTGAGTTAGCAGCTGTTTCTCACATCCCAGTATGATCAAATGTTAAATTAGAATGTAATTGAAATTTACAAACTTTTATTCGTGATGTAAATGTGTTCACAGGGGATAATCTTTTCCAGCAAAAATATTTGCTGGCACTCTCGCATAAGAGTTGTTATAGGGTGAAACTGAAAAACATATTTTTTTTCACCCTTAGTTAAAACTTACAACTGGCTAATACTCACATTTAAATCATACAAAGCTGTTTTCAACATTTCATCATAAAGCGACCCTCTAAGAGGGATATGAGAAATAGTGTAATAATATGCCACTCGATTTGCATTACTATCTCTTGCTTCAATATTCAAATGCATGTATTTATCTATCATTGGCTTTTTAAAGAGAATTTAGGCAGGTAACTTTGCATAGATTTTATAACTCAATAGGGCTATACATAACATACCAATTTCACATTCTTGGAACGAGAATTTTTTGCGATAAGAAAACGGGTTGAATCTTTATTGCAAAGATAAGGACAATTTATGAATCTGCATTTTTGTCATTATTTAAGAGGTGCTCTTTCCCCGTAGACAAAGTTTAGCTAAACTCCGGAGTTCCATAAAAATTATTGAGCCTATCTGGTTTATTCCTTTTGCATTTACCTACTTTCTGAACGGAGGGTTGACATGCGTGTCTACCCAAAACGGCCACAGTGTGTAATCTAAAATGGAAAATGTAATGGAAATGTCACGGCAATTGCTTTTTTTTACCCAGGTCAAACACTATTATTTTAAGTGTCGAAGAAGTCATATCTCATGTAAGCGATAACAACCACAACTAGCCTCACAGACAGCTCTCGGGCTCTCGGTAAAACATTCATTCATTCCTATAATTTTTGAAATTTTTTGTTACATCATAATCACAGACCGTGAAATGATTTAAGGTACAGAATATTGAATAAAAAGTGCGCTATAATCAAATTCCATCCATCTCTGATGTCAAAATGTTCCATCATTTAAACCATCTTAAATATCAAAACAAATACTTGCAAAAATGTTTATTTTAATAGAAAACAATTCGAAACTTAGTAGAAATCTACCGAAAATATCGGCAATCTTCCAACAAATCAGCCCACCATTGTCCTTTTCCTTCCACGAGCTCTCACTTCTTCAAATTTAGAGAGCACCTCCTTAAAACCCTTGTTATAACTTTTTTTGTATCCTTCAATTATTTTGGAAAATATAATGTCTGCCACCTTATGTGTGCTAAGTAGAGCTCGTTCCAACACGTACAAATCAACACCTTTGTCTTCAGTACTAGGATCCATATGCGCCAAACCAAAATCAATAAATACCAAATTTAAGTCTTTTATATTGGAGAAGGTATCATTATTAAATTTATTATAAAGCAGTATGTTTGATGATGTTAGGTCTCCATGAATAATATTACTTTCGTGCATTTGGCCTATAATAGTACCTACATTATAACAAACTTCTAATAACTGATCCATTAATGCCATTTCAATAAAGTCTTTTAATGTAACATTATGAATGAAGTACTCCATGAATATTGTTCGCCTATCAAAGTCAACTAGATAAATTGTGGGTGTGCGAATTCCTGCAGCCTTGCAACGGACTATCGCTCGCGTTTCTGCCTTCATGCGTTCTTTAGTTAGGGCAGTATCCAAATGAGAATGTCTGTATTTTTTTACGAATCGTTCTTTCGCGATAGCATTTTTTCCTAAATACATGCCCTGATAGAGCTTGGCTTCAGCACCTTGTTTTATTAATTGAAAACCCTCCATTGATTAATTTTCAGTCCACCAAGATAATTTAATTTTCATAGATAATAGTGACAATATATACTGGAACTTGATGTTTATCACAGCAAGGCCGATAAAGGCTATGTTCATTTTATATATTAACATTTGGGAAAAACTGCAGGGATGATTCGGCCATATATTACATTACATTACATTGGTTAGTTTCTTAGCTTTAATTTGTGGTTTTGGTAACATTGATTCAGTTATTTTTGAGTTTTATTATGGCGCCATTGATTTATGGCGGCGGGTGACGTATTAACAGCGTACTACAACTATAATTGAGAGTCAGTATGAAGTTATATGAGTTTTTACAGTTTTAAGAAGTTGATTTAATCATAGAGTTATCTGATTTTTGTAGAGAGTGCGATGAATATTCGAATAGATGTCCTAAAGATTTTAATAGTTCCCGGACGGGGAGGTAATATATCTATTTAAAAAATGTAATGGTGTTTACATTTCAATTTTAGTTTCAGGAACGCTTAATTTGTGAATAAGAATTTTTAGTTATTACCAAATAAGAAAAATGGATACACAGGAGGGCAATAGGCTTTCATGTGTGGAGCCTCAGATACAAGCTTATGCTGACACCAATTTAAATGAGAAAGGTGTGGATACGCCCTATATATACACCACGGAAGGTTCTTTTGTTACTCAGCAGCAGCCTGAGCCCATGGAACTTAACACTCAGTGGATAGAGAATGCTGAAATAATACCAACTGTTACAGAAGCCCAAGTTTTACAATACCAGCCAAATCCAGAACATTTGATAGTTCAGCAAGAATATACTGAAACTATACAGGAAATTCAAGATACTAATGAGCAATATCAACAAACCATAGTTGACCATCATTCTCAGGAAAATGTAGATTTTGTGCTTCAAAGTTCAGAATCTAATTATGTCACTGAGACTTCTACAGTAAGTCAAAGTAGGGAACAAGAGGTCTTTTCCAATCAAGATAATGTTGAAGTTGAGCAAAATATTTTGGAGCCACCTCAACCAGATGAGGCCTCCAGTAGTTTGCAGATAGAGGAAATCAGTGAAGGTGAAGCTGTGGAAGAAGGAGTTGTGTTAGAATCCACAGATGTTAGCATTACTGTGACAACTCCTGATGATATCTGTGAAGATGTCCAGGTAGTGGATGAATCCTTTGAAATTAGTGAAATTGATGGAGAAGCAGAAGTTGTCGAAGATGTATCAGCCCATGTTGGGCAAACTGTGCTTCATGTTGAGAAAACTGAATCGCCTCTGGACCATCCTGACCATTCAGCAGAAGGAAGTTCTGTTGAAGAAACTGATGAAGTTGTTGTCACAAGTGTACCAATTGCTGAAGAGGAAATGGTAGACAGGCCAGCTGAGAGTGAAAACAACATTGAATATGTGGAAGAAATTGATGAACCTGTAAAATCGGAACCAAGTGCAATGGAAATACAGCCATGTCAAGAAGAGCAGCAACAAGCAGTGACAGAAGGTAATGTTTTGTTACCAATCTTGTTTTTTCCCACAGTCAGGAAAGTTTTAGTCCTCATCCAAGGTGAAGAGGTGTTGCCAACCCACACGGACACTTTTGACTCTATTGAAGAAGAGAATGAAGACAATCCTGAGGAAACTTTATATGTAATGTATGAAGATTCAAGTTCTCAAGATGGAGAGTCTTCTCAAAACTCTACAGGCCCAACTGATACAGTACTTAGTTGTTTTATCTCTTGGCAAAGTGACAAAGTGATGTTTTTCAGGAATCAAAATCAAATGACGTTCTGCAGCCCAAGCGTAGAAGGGGTCGCAAGCCGAAACAAGACATACCTATGCATGTGTTGGGTCATGATATATCAAAACCAGTTGAGAATGTGCTCAATGGCAAATCACCCAAACCAAGACTTGGGGTCAAAGTTCCTTATCGAAATCTCACCAGTCAAATTGTATCCAAAGAAGAAATTGAGAAGGAGATTGTAGAGAGGGGCCGTAAAAGGCAGGAGCAGTACAAAAGTCAGCAAACATTTGCCAAGAGATTGTCTTCAAAATTAGCCAGAAAATTGACTGGCTTCGCTGGTAATGATGAAGTTCCAGACACCAGTGCCAAGGCAACAGGGTCAACACCAACACAGGTTAATACCACACCAAAACCCAAGGAAGCTCTGAAAAGAGTGGAAAGTGAAAAAACTGACCAGGATAACTTGGACTTATTGGCGATTTTAGAGGGTAAGAGTATATTGAATGTATGTATGTATATATGTATATTGAATTTATTTGAAAATAAGTGTTGATTTCATCATTTTGAACATGTTAATTATCGTAAGTGCAAGCAGTGTACTGCAATAGATCAAAATACCGCAAAAGAGGTTCATATTACAATCGCTTTTAATTCTAAATTCTAAAGCAAAAACAAAAGGTTTCTCAAAATATAAATTTGTTTAGACGATTTTTGATTTGTTACAAGAACACTGTGGATATGAGTTTTTGTCAATGTTGAACAAAAATATAACTCATATCCAGATCTTATTTGTTTATTAACGAACTTGTTAAGATTCGATTTGATACCGTGAGTTGGAGGAAAATTATAGAGAGATAGAAAATCTTACACAAAGTTCTTTTAATTTGGAAAGGTTATAAGGCATACCATTACAAAAATAATTGTTTCAAGAGTTGTATCGTGGGTTCTCTCAATTTAATATTTATTTAAAACATAGGCCTATATAAATCTGATTTGCCAACGTCTAGTCAGTTGCACAGCACACACACACGGTCAAATTTTGTTGTGTCAATTGACCAAAATAATAATACCATGAAATTTATATTTATTTATATTGGGCGTTACGTCGCCGTCGCATCGTTTGGGAAACCAAATTTTGGCGATATCATTATTGGGATCCTCCGAATCTCTAAGTATCGCATTCAGTATTGTATTCCAATATTCCTTAAAGAGGGTTAAAGGAAAATTAGACATCACAAACGAATAATAATATATTATAAAATACATATTATGATAGATTACGCTCTACAACTACAAGATGTTATTTAAAACATTTTTTGACTAGCCAATTATGAAGTGGTCAATTGATCAGCCCCAACACTATTTATGCATTACGCCGCTAACAACAGTGCGCAGGTGATCAACGAAAGTATGTCTTGGGGATGACGTCAATTTTTCTTTGCTTTGACGCTGAATATGAGATAATTTTTATTGTTAAATAATGGGTTGTTTTCATTTCATTTCATTTTTCTTTTATACTCTGTCCAGATTGATTTAGTCTATCGAACACTGCCATGTTTTAACTTTAAAACCATCTAAGATGATATGTTGTTGATATGTCAACTCAATGAAATCAGAACAAAATTCATTTGTACATTTAAAGATAGTCGGGAGTTTTTTAGGAAGAAAGACTGCTCTCGATTTGGGTCTGTCTGGTCAAATTACGCCAGAAGTAAATGAAATAGAATTCACGCAAATACTCGGAATTTTTAGAGTTTTTGCCCCCAAATTTTTCTAGTTTACCAAATTACGCATTTCAATTACCCCAGATACCTGTTTTCCGTGAGCGCGAAATTTTTTTAGGAGACGGAGACGACAGTATAGTTTTACCGAAACCCGTGTTGAAAGTGACTCCGGCCACCGACGAAACAAATTTAAAAAATTTGGAACGGGAAATCGCGTTGCGTCAACTGCAAGAATTGCCCCGTATGAGTCCCCGGAAAAAGTTCATGACCAATCGTCATTTAAAGGTAAACGCCGAGTTTGTTTCTTCCAGGTGAATGACCTAATTCTATTAAAGTTATATCTCAAGGAGCTTCCGGTCGAAGAGGAGCCGCCCTCGCCCGGTAAATCGATAAATTTGGCCGACGAAAAACCCGCGGCGCCCCTGCTGCTGGACGTGGAGCCGCAAATCAAGGTTAATATGGCCCTGAAGACTTACTCGCGGAAACGGAAAACCAGTGAACCAGCGGAGGCTAGCCCAGAAAAGAAGGTCGTCCCGCTCAACACTTCCCCTCTGGCATTGAAGCCAAAAGTAGAGACACCTGTTTCTGATACCGTCTACGTCACCAAAAGTTCCAGAGTCATCAAGAAAAAGGTAGCGCGTTTATTGGCTTTTGTGGATTAGCTTTTTATTGTCCTTTGCGTCTGCAGGTGATTTGGGATCCGGACGAGGCGGCTCCGGCACGACCATCGAAACCGACTACTGTAAAGACGGAGTCTCCGCCACCAACGAAATTTATACCCGTGTCCAAGCCCGTGAGGACTTACGAGAAGGCAGACAGATCGGCGGATAGATCGGCTGCACTGTCCAGGTTGGTTGAAAAAAAGCTGGAAAAAGTATCTCCTAAGGAGAAACCAGAAAAAAGAGAAGTAGAAAAGGAGAAGCTAGCTACCAAGAAGCGGTCGTTATCACCCGCCCAGGTCATAAAATCTCCTGGAGGTGTGTATGAAAAATGCAAAACAAACACTTGAAGAATTTGAATTGCGAAAAGCGCCACGATTTGAATTTTTATGCTTTATGATTTGCAGCCAAGGCGACGGTGAAGCCCAAAAAATCAAGGTCTGAGGTGGACAAACTGCTAGGTGATGAAGGGGCCATCAAAATGCTGTACGATTTGAAAAATACCGACGACACAGACGATAGGCGGAAGGCAAAGTCGGTAATATCGGTCGAGAAAACATTCAAGGACCTGGTCAAGAAGGTAATATTTGCACTTAAATGGTTTTTATGCTACGCGCATAATCTTTTTTTCCAACAGATGGTATAATAAAGTGCACAGCAAGTGGATATACCCCAGAGATAATAATAATAATAATACATTGTTTATTGCCCATAAGATACAAGCTTTTACCTCAAGATAACGCTAGATTCTACTGAGTACAGGATGCTTTAGTTTAATAATAGTGTTAATAATGAAATCAATTTTTTTTTGTTATTGGGAACAGATAGATAATGATAGATTGTGTCAAAACATTAAAATGAAAATTAGTGAGCAGGAATCTTGGGCTAATTTTTGATTCTGAGTTAAGATTTAAATCTCAAGTCAACAAATGTATCCAAATGGCATATTCCAATCTAAAAGGTATTTTCCCTCATTGACATCTTTTGTCTAGGAGGGACAAGTAAAATAAAAAACAAATAAAATTCTGTTTCTCTGTTTCACTTATAACATTTATATTTCGTTTAAACATATTCCACACAATTTAAAAACATTATCAGTGGGCGCATTTAAATATCAATATAAACAGTTTCTTTTAAGTTAATATTATATGAGTTACTTTTTTTGTTTTTTATATACAGTTCTTTTTAAGTGGACCTCGTAGGAGTTTGACTCTTTTTCTGTCTTTTTTCCTTCCTTTTCGTACAGTGTGCTTTTTGTAGAGGATTTTAGAAGTTTAGTGTAATTGGCATTGTCAAACATTAATAGGCATTATATATAGTTTACCTTGGGAGCTGAACTAGAATCTTTTTTAAATTGGTCTCCTTTTTCCTTGTAAAATTGGTTATTGGATTTAGATACTCATTATATAAATACTTAAAGCAAATAAATTATTATTATTGTATTAAATTTAAATTTGAATTTGGGATAAACAAGAATATAAGACATCAGAATAACATTTTTGATAGAATTCATAACAGGTAGCAGACGAGTTCCTCAACTCAAGCTTAATTTTATTTTACAAATAAACCAGACAAAGTAAAATGTATAATCCTAGCCTACAAAAATAAACCGACCAAAAGAAGAGAAGAGAAACCAAAATAATGGATTGCATTAATTGAAATTGCTTTTAGCCAAAGCTTTAAACTTAGTGAATGACTGTGGGACAATTTTTCACTAACCAGTTAGACAATTTATGGCCGAACCCTTTAGATGTTATATTTTTTATTTCAGCAGGAATTTTGTTATATAATTTATTTCCAACATATAGAAATGTTCTCTGTCCTATCCTTTTCTTTGCAAATAGTTGTGTTAAGTTTTCTTTGATTTTTTCTCTAGTAAAGTGCATAATGAGTTTTTCCGCATAGGAGTGATACTGTCGGTCAAGTTGAAATATAACTTTTAGCACTCTTGCAAGGTATAAGGAAAGATTTTCTTTTAATGAAAGAATAGTCTTTGAATATGAATATCCCATTTCAGTTGGCTGTCCAATAGTATGCCAAGATATTTGTCAATGTTTTTTATTTCTACTTGCCAAAATTTAGATCTCTGTCAGTTAAACCTCAATATTGTTACTTGCTAATGTTAAGGCGTTATTAGAAAAGGGTACCCAGTTTTTTTTTGTTCAAATTTATGGTAATTAAGTGTTCGTCAAACCAGTTCGTTATTACGCAAAGATCTACCTTAATTTGCAATTCAACATTACTCCTAGTGTCGGCTTCCATCATTAGGACTGTATCATTCGCAAATGATATAAGTGTTTCATTAGTATTCGTCGTAAATGGGATGGCATCTTGCGATAAACCTTTCGCCATGTCCAGAACGATCTATACGCTTTGCTGGTTGTCCTCTCTAGATGAGCATTCCAGTTGAGTGATACATTAAAGGTAACTCCTATAAGGAAAGAGCTCCTACCGTTGAATGGTATTACGGCCCCTGTCCAAGGCTGCTTGAAGGGGTGTAGAAATCCTATTATTGGTTGTCTCTCCCCTAGCTTACTGTGTGTATGGATAACGTTCTCGATTCTTTGGTTTTTCCAAGCTCAGAGGAATTCTGGAAAGTTTTTTGATGAGACCTCTTAAATTTCGGCTTAGCATTTTGAAAGTTTTGATAAGCTCTCTCCAGTATGTACAGGGTTATTCATTATATTTTGACACCCATCTACAGGGTTAATTTTGAAAGATAGGAGAAAAAGTGTAAATACAAAAGATTCTTGCTCTATTATCTTATGCAACATCTTTTTTTTTTAATGGAATGCCCTATATATTATCATTTTATTGACATTTCATTTTTTGAGTTATTTCAGTTTAAAAATAATTATCATTTGATTTCTGGACAATAGCCATATTGTTTAAAAATAGCCAAGGCTGCCTAGATAGCAACCCATAAAGAAACCTAAATTAGTTGAGGACTACAATAACACCATGGGAGGCGTCGATAGAGTAGATCAACGCTTACATGACTACCAACTAACTAAAAAACGGGGGATAATATAAAAAAAATATTGATGCATTTATTTGATTTTGCTATTTTTAACTCTTTTATTTTGTACAAAATGAGAGAAAAATATCACTTCAGTACAAACGTTAACAAGGCAGGGCGACAAAGACATATGAGACCATTCCGACTAAAAGAATGACATTTTCCTAACTTTATTCCTCCAACTGAAAAAAAGACTGTACCTTATAGAAATTGTGCAGTGTTTTTCAAGAAAAGACAGCACGGACAAAAAATCAGAAAAATAACAAGTTATTGGTGCAGTGAATGTGACGTGGGACTCTGCGTAGTACCTTGTTTTAAAATTTACCGTACACAATTTAAAATAAGCATAAATAATAATTTGCTAAAAAAAATAATGTATTTTTTTGTACCTAAATTGATTAAAAAAATGTGCATTAAGGGGTTAAAAAAAATGATGTTGCTGTCATTCTGACAACTTGCGATCGTCGTTTGTTTTTTCTGACATTTGCATAAGATAACAGAGCAAAAATCTTCAAATTTTTTACATTTATTTTCTATCTTTCAAAATTACCCAGTACCTACAAGTTCCACAACCTTCGAAAGTTTCTTTGAAAATCATCGCTAGTTCTGTGGTCTTTCAGTGATCCCGCAAGGCAGCCCTGCAAGTTCCGGTGGGGCGATTTAATTATTTTTCCGTTAATAATGGAAAACAATTTTCTGTATTAGGGCTCGTTTCTAGGCGAACGAGATCAAATCCGACCTGGTGAACACCAGCGGTTCGGAACAGCCGAAATCGCTCAGAAAGAAAGATGGCGTGTCGCCGAATTCGGCGGTCAAAGTGCCGGTCGCCGCCGCCGTACTCGGCCGCCAAAAGTCGAAAGATTCGAATCGAAGTTCGGTTCATACGCCGCCCGCGTCACCCGCGTTCCCTTTTCCCAATGAGACGTCGTACCTGATCAGAAGAAGGTCGAGCAGTTCCCTGTCGAGTTCCGATAACGTGCAAGACGACTGGGACGAAGACGGCGCGAAAGAAAAGCAGCCGAAACGGAAGTCAAGGGTAAAGAAACCGGCGGAAGTCAAAGAGGAGGAACCGCAGCCGCAGGGACAAGCGAAGGAGGAACAATCGACGTCCGGTCAGAAGACGACAAAAGCGGACAGCAGGCTGGGCAATTTTCAGTGGTTAACGGCGAAAAAGACCGGCAAACACGTAACTATCGATTTGCAATTGGAGGACACATTCGGTTACTTCACCGTGGAGGTATTGGCAGAGCTGACCGTAGCGCTGAATCGCATCTCCAAAGAGAAGGACTGCAACGGGGTGCTGCTGCGATCGAGCCAAGTCGACGTGTTCGGCTTGGGGCTCGATTACAGAACGTTGGTTGCCGAGAAGGATTCGGAACGGAAAGCTTTGGCCTCCGATTTGGCGGAAAAAGTCAGGTAATGCATCGAACGAAGAGATGTCCGTGAACGTTCGGTTTTGTTTTTCGTTGTAGCGAGTTCGTCAAGTGCCTGCTTCACTTTCCGAAAGTGCTGGTCGCAGGAGTGCAGGGCGAGTGCGCGGGACTCTCCGTGACGATGTTAGCGCTGTTCGATCTCGTCGTGTCCAGTGATTCGGCCATGTTCAGCACCCCGTACAGCTCTTTGGGCTGCGTCGCCGAGGCCGGATTCCTCTTGACCGTTCCCTATGTCGCCAATCATGGTTTGGTAAGTTTTGTTTTGTTAAAATTTGACCCTTTAAAATTATACGGTATTTCATGCCATTTGTTATTTTGGATGTATTCCTTTTATAACAAACATTTAGTATATGGTCGCAGTACACGCTAGAGGCTACAGTAAAACGACACTTTCTATTTAGTTTGACTTACGTTATTATTCTTTGTGTTTTGCGGCGGTTTGGATGTATTTTCGCTGTTTTTATTCCTGAATACTAATTATAAAACATTAATAATGTGTATATTCAATATTCATCTGAGTATAACAAGCATTCTTCCGAAATTGTTATTGAGACACCTCTGGTTCCTGACTTGCATTTAGCTGTTTTGCTTTAGCTTGATTTATCTGTGCAACGTTAGACCATTAAGAATCATCAAACAACTTTTCCACACTCTAGTTATTGCCATTCATAATGTCAATAAGTTTCATAGTTTCAATTGCAGCTCTTCAGAAATTCATTTCTAGATAAAAGGGTTGTGTTTTTTTCGCATTTTTTCATCTCCAGGATTTTCTTAAGATTTTATGTCTGTACAACACTTTACCGGGTCGCTTCTAAAACAGGAGCGTAAGCTTCTTTTAATTAATTATTTACTTTCTTTTTTTTTATATAAATTGTATGTTTGTTGAAAGCGATTGGACCTTTTGGTATGGATAGCACTGCAAGTCTTAATTAGTAACTCTTATATTACTATTTGCTGACATAACCTCAAAGGGTGAAGCTAGGAAGGAAGTTGATGCGCAAATATAATTTGTATTCAATTGCACATGTACCTTGAAGTATTTCATGTTTCCCTTTTCTTCTTTTATTACGCAAATCTTAGGTATTTTGAACGAGATTTCACCTTCTGGCATGTTTAATTCCATCATACCTTTACATTTTTTCTTTATTCATATAGATCTTATGATTGTTGAAAGAGATTGGACTGTTTGTTATGCATTCTCAGTTGATAAATGTGTCGCGGTGTTACTCAAACCTTATTTATAGGCAGCCGAATTGTTGTACACCAATCAAAAATTAAAAGCGGATGAGGTTTTCCGTAGAGGGTTGATTTCGAAGCTATGTTGGCCCGAAAAGTATCAAGAGACCGTCAAACACGCGATGCAGTCAATTGCCAAAGGGTCGAAGCAGGTAAGATTGCAAAAAATGGCTGAACAATGTGTACATTTCAATGATTTTTATGGTGTTACAGAGCCTCGAGGCGACCAAAAAGCAGCTGCGTGGCGGCATCTTGAAAAGCTCGGAGGCCGCTGTGGACGCGATGACTAAGCAGCTGATCGAGCACTGGTCCAGTAACGAGTGCCAGAGAAACTTTAGCAAAATCGAGTAGCGCGCCTGGGAAGCGACGATATACAACAGAAAATTAAAACAAGTAATAGTTTCCATAGTGTAATTTCGAGTGAAATGGGGATAGAGTAAAACGGATTTGAATCAAAATTGTGGGTTTGAAAAATATTTTTTTATATTTTCATAATGTAGACTTAGGGGTACGTCGCGAGCGACGCACTATAGTTAGAGTTAGGCTAAGGAGAGTTATATTTCACTTGACTGTTAGGAATGTAATGAAGATCCAAAGATCGGTGCAATTTTCCAAAACGTCAAAGATTTCTGAAAGCTGACCGCCATTATTATCGAATCGCATGTACATACTACCACGATCTGTTTTACACGTAGTAATTTTGTTCTTTGTTCGTTTCGGTCCAGCGGGTTACTTTGTGTACTCGCCCGAAATTTAAGAAATTTATGCGTTATATTGACAGGTCCACAAAGTGTTATGGTGTTGTATGATTTGCCTCAGAAGTGGTTTACTTATTAATAATTGTTTTTTTAAAAGTTTCAAAAAATCATGAATGAATAATCATGAATCATTCGTGGGGCACCAATGATACCTCGTGGACCTAGTGTCGTGATGGTACAAATGAACTACTACTGGTGATGGTACTCCCGCTTATTGTGCGTCGAAGTGATCACCTGTACATGTTATTGAATTGAATTTTGTAGGTATTGTTTGCATATCAGAGTACTAATTTGGACCTTATTTAGTTTGTAATTTTATTGTTTCGTATAATTATAAATGTTTAATAAAATGGAAGGCCTTTTCTTATGGAAACACTAATATGCAAAATATTTTATTAAAAAATTGTTGAAACACGCAAAAGCTTAACTTACTCCACCAACAGTTCGTCCATTTTCCTAAGTATCCGTTTGAAATCCCACTTGGCATCGCCATCGTCCGCGACATCCTTTCTCTCTTCACTTTCTTTGAGATCTTCCGTCGGTAAATCGCTCATCGATGAGTAAACCAAGACAGGCTCGTCGGACCCGTAATGAGCAACGGCTAGCATGTTTAGTTTGGGGTGAAACTGAACGCAGTGAACGACTTTTTGTGGGAAGGCTCCCAAAGTTTTCTCGTCGTTCCCGGTTTTCGTATTCCACATAATAACGAGGCCGTTCTCACTGCCGCACACCGCGTAGACGCCGCACGGCGATAGGTCGCAAAAGGTCTGCACCCTACGATTTAATCAGTAAAATGGATTCCCTCAAAGTTCAGGATAGGAAATTTACTATCGGGCTATAACTTTTATCGGAAACTAAATACTTCAAGAAAATAAAGTGAATTAGATCAAAAATTTAATTTATTTTATTTTCATATACAGAGTGTTATTGAAATGACATCATATTATTTAATGAGTGAGATCACAGCACAAATAGCAAAAATACTTGGTATAACGGTTGCAGCCTAAAGAAAAATAGTTACTAAAAGCAAATTTTGTGGTAAAACGTTAGATCAGTGGACGCCATAAGAAATACCTACTCCAGAAACACAGAGTGAATGTAATTTCAGAATGGGACACTATAACGTGACCGATTGGATAGCGATCGAGTGCCTGCGGGCCCGCACGCACTGCCACTGCCCGGTGCATAATTCATAATTTGTTGTACAAATTCCCTGGAGATATAAGAATAGTCAATTACAAAATAATAACAATCAACCAACAGAGTATAACCAAATAAACAAGCAGGAAACAAAACTCAAAATAGAAACACGCCACTGCTGGAAGACGAAGACATTCACTGGTTGCTTAGGCTTAAAACTGAACCAGGATATAAACTTAATTTTTTTGTTAACATATGCTTAAAACTCTGATTTTGGTGTGAAATATATATTAAGAAAAAAATTTACTAATCTGTAATTATACGCGCGCTGAACATTATAGACGTCTTATTGGCCGCTAGCTTTTAGAAAAAAAAGATTTCACCATAAGTATATTCTTTGTAAATAGGCCACATATTGGATCAACCAGTAAAATACATTTTGCAAGTAACCATAATTAAGTGATATTGCAGGAAACAGACTTCGATGTGTGTTTTCAGTTTATTTTCGTGATTTCAACAATTGAACATATTATCCAATTCGAGTCTAAAGGCACCATAATAAATAACTGCATTTGAACATTTTACTGCATATTATTTGGACTTATTACAAAATCATAATGAATCTGCACTAGAAGAAGTTATTCGCGAAGATCTGGAGATCTGATTGTTGGTCCCATAATTTCCGTATGGTTATGGAGTATTTGGGAAATATTTTCAACTGGAATAAAATTACACCCGACCTCTCGCTGAACAACTTTTTTCTGTGGAGTATCTTGAAAAGTGTTATCTATAAAAATGTTCAATTTGAAAATCTTAACCCCTTACGAAACGTTATTTCCTTAGAATGTGAAAAAAATTCACAATATTCAACTAAGCAATGTTAGAAATGAATTTTATGATCACTTAGACTATTGTTTAACTGTTAATAGAGGGTTGTTTGTTTCAATTAAAAAATTAAAAAATAATAATAAATAATTAAATATTAATATTAAATTAAATAAATTAATAATTAAAAAAAATAATACATTCTTAGTTTATTTTGAATGTGTGAAACCAAATGTGCATATCTCTACTGAAACCAACATTTATTTGATATTTCATTGTGCAGCTGGAAGTCGTCAAGTCTTGAAAATAGCGTCATGGAAAATATTCGCTGCTGTTTGTTGTATTGACCTTTTGCAATTTTCAAAAAGTGATATTACAACTTTGCTATAAAATATACAGGGGAGCCAATATTTGGGCACCTAAAAAAACTACATGGGATTTCCTATCTTCCGTTCGGCAATGCATCACCGGATATATAATCAATAGTCAATTCCATTAATGGGTATCAAATTAAGACACCTTCAGGGGCAGTATATTAATAAAAACCATAACCGTACACCAACTAAAAAAGCGAGGTTTTTTAAGGGCGGAAAATTTTTGGCACATCACAAAGTTTCGTAAATGAGGCCATTTCAATAACATCTCGTTTATTCTGTCATCTGTCGGTATTGACTTTTTCAATGGAACAAGTTTTCCTGGCGCCTAATTCTGCGAAAATATATTCGCGTTTTAAAATGCCTATCCTGTACATTTGACCTACTACGACGTATCTACCGAGTGTTGAGCGCTCCGTAAAGCCAATGGACGACACAGGAATGAGCGATCGAAACGACCCGCATGGCCGAATCTCTAGAATGCACCAGCATTCGTTTCTCATTGGGGAACAGAACAATTTGGTTGATTATCGTGTCTTTAAGGTCCACAATCTCCAGTTTTCTAACAATGATCGGAGAATCGGTAAGTGACTAGCGAACATCACTTCGTGCTTTACCTAATCAAACGCCAGTCTTTTTCTTCCATTCGAAATTCCAAAATGTCGCCGTTAGAGTCTGCGGAATACAGCAGTTCGTCGGATTTTTTAGAGAAACAGACGGAAGTTATGTATCCCTTATGTTCTTCCAGTTCTTGGTGCAGCCTGAACTCAGCTCCCTCAAAATTCCACAACCTAACTGTCCGGTCGTAACACCCTGTCGCCACTGTGTTGTTGCTGTTCATATCGCACGAGTAGACGAAACTCGGATGGGGCAATATCTTACAAGCAGACATTTTGCATGGAAATTTTTGAAAAATTTTCGAGTCTTACCTGTAGAAAGATACGTTTTTCCACGTCCCATACCGCCACCGTGTGGTCCGCGGATGCCGTCAGAAGCATTTTGTCATCTATCGACCAAACTAAAGCGTATATGAGACATTGGTGGTTTTTAAATTTTGTTTTCACTTTGAAATTCTCCACCTACGAAAGAAGACCCGACATTAATTAGGCGATTAGTAGACAAGACAGAAAGATAACAAGTGAGGTCAGAGATTGAACAGAACTTCCGCTCATGAAAGTCTATATTTAACAGTTCTGAGTGATTAGAAACAAAGGTGCTCTCACCACCTCTGAAAGGAAGACAGGAAGATAACTGAGCGAATGAGGCCATTTAATTGCAATCAAATTTGCGATTATGAAACATTCGACATTTCTTAAGTGAATGGAAACGAAAGTGCCTGACTGCAATTAATTGAAGCTACTAAAACTCCACTCGGATGTTAATACCAAGATAAGAGACACTATCAGGTTTATCAACTGAATCAGCCACCTTTGAACTTATAGAACACATACACAATGTGGGTGACAAAAGTGAATGAACGATTGTTATTTTTTCGATCAAGTTCGACTTTCACTTTAAATATTGCCTTTATTTCCAAAAAATTCTCTACTTTCAGGGAGAAGCTTCTCTGTAGAAATAAACAATTCATTATACGAGAAATTTTTTCATGTACGCCGACGAAACAACCCTTGTAGTCTCCAATGTGTTTTTAGGATATTTTAGAGTACGGAGTAGAAAAATATATACCCTAAAATACCTAATTATGCACCGAGCGAATTTACGGAAAATATCATTTTACGACGTCAGTTTCGTTACCTTCCGCTCTAAGCCACTTCGGCCACTTCCGAGATATTATTCACGGGTTTGGCAGCGATCCAATGTTTTCGGAGATATTATTCACGGCGCTTTATAATTTGCAAAGGCTAATTCTAAAAAAATTATTTTAGTCTACTGTCGAATTCCTGTAAGTGGGGGGAAGAGTATTTTTTATGCTGTATTCGTATAGTCTGTCTAGTGAGTTGAGTATTTTTTTCTTGACTTGTTTAAGTCACTTTCTTTTATAGTTGTAATTTTTTCAGAGATCAATAAAATTTATTTTATCTTTGACCTCAAACGAAGAATGCACAAGGTTAAGAAGAATGCACTTAATGGGAATATAATAATTCTGGTACCAATATGTTCTATGTTCTTGGATCTAGATTGCATAGTGATAAGAACTAAGTATTATTGGATTTAATATATGGACTCATTGGATTTATAAACCATAGTGTAATTGATCTCTTCATTGAAGTGGTAAAGCGTTCTGGGAACTAAATGTAAATTTTTCAGAACAAGCAACAAGCTGTTTTTTACACATTTTTGACAGAATCTTAGTTTTGGTTAGTTCGTGTAACCCAAATTTAGATACGAAGCCGTGTGGCTTGAAATGTTAAATGGCTACTAAAAATGTTGGTGGCAACGGACGTATACCTTATAAATGACGACCAAAAAATCTTCGCCGGCTTTGAGCGCGCAGGCTAGATATGCGCCCTGGTGGCTAAACTTCAAAACGAAGCAGCCCTCGTCGAATGTCTCAAGCCGCTCGACGCACTCGTCGGGAAGCTTCTTCGCGTTCCTCCGAAACTTGGGCCACAGAATTTTGAAATCTTCTGCGTTTTCCTTTTCGCAGTCATCGTTTTCTCTTTCGATATTCGGTATCGCTTCCTTTTGGAGTGGCGTTCTAGACCTAAACGCATCCACAACTTTACTAGGGGAGATGACTTGTTTGATAGTCACATATAAGGTGGATGGATACTTTTTCAGCTTGTGGTTCTTCCAGTAGTCCCAAACGGGACATCTATTGGGTTCCGAGTATTGGATAGACACAGTCGGATGATGGTACAGTTGCAGCCTTACTTTACGGTTGACGTTGTTATTGTTTTTCCCCACCACCTTCAAGAAAGCGAACGCAATCTTGAACCATCCTTTGTCAGACGCTTTAAATTGGTGCACATTGAAGGAAATAAAGTCCAACACCTCGAAGAAGAGCACAACGTTCTCATTGACGAGATAATCGAAATCTTCATTTAACAAAATCGCCTCCTCCCATTTGGGGAAGAACGATCTGTTTTCTTGCAAGTTGTAGTGTCGGCTCATAATCGGCATGATGTAATCATTGGATTCGTTTTCGTAATAAAACACTACAGACCTACCCTTCTCGCTTTTCTTGAAATAACAACCAGCCTTGATGTCGACCACGTGAATTTTCACCACGGGATGAATCACTATTGGATTCGGCACCAGCTTATCGGTCTTGTGTATAAAAATCTCTGTCAAATATTCGGTTTTTGCCGTTTTGGTATTTTTCGCTGGTATTTTGCTTTTACGTACAGTCGGGTTGGGTTTTTCCACTACGGTCGCTTCAATTACTTCGCTGACTTCCTTACGCGCTTCAATTTTTTTGTCCTCTTTGCTAACCACGAATGTGTGGCGACTGCAGCTACTCTCATCACCACTACTACTTGCGGTTTCTTTTTCAACTTCATCCTGTTCGCAGGCGACTATTGTTATCTTTGAAGCGCTTGGGCTGTTGTGAAGAATCACATCTCCCACTGCTTCTTGTTTTGCACTAGATTGGGACTCACGACCGGCCACTACGGGCAAGTTTTTTCTGGGTTTAGGAACGGGACGTTTGGCGTCAATTTCATTGTTTCCCACGCACGACGTATCTTGCAAGAACTTATCCAACATATACTGCTTGTTGACTTTCTCGTCGTCGCCGTAATCCGCATCCCTCTCGTGGTTATCCAGCAGGTTCCTGCTACTCGTGGAAGTAGATGCATTTTCTACCGACGATTTCGATGCGAGTGATTTTTTCTTCAAAACGGCGCTCAAGACCGCTCCTAACTTTTCTTTTGCTTCCTGTTTGATACTTTTTGCCAAACTCAAACTTTGAATTGAAACGCTGGAACTCATAATAGGATCCTCGATTCGGTAGCGAAATGTTTGTAGTTGTTGCCATGGTCACCGAATGGATGTGGTGAAGCGTGAAGGATGCGAGAACTACTCTTTTTTCTAAGATTATCTGTGTAGGCCTCTCGAACCTTCGCGAAAGTTGAAGATAATTGATCTTTCTCATCTAATAAATGACATAAAACGAGACCGAATAAGTCAATAATAAAAAAACAAAATATAGAAATCAACAGTTAACATTAACAAATACTTACGAATCGTGAACTAGTCGGTTGAACGAGGACCCTGCCTATGCCGATAATACAGAAATTTATGAAGCAATTATAAAAAAAGAGGTTTATTCAAGTTTTTAAATAATGACTTTCAACAACCAACATGGCCGCTGACAGAGCGCTAATAGGTTTAAGCAGTATTTTCTCAAAACATGCCTAGATCTCGTTAAATGTTTTTGTTTTGCCCGATACCAAAATATAATTTTTGCTATCCTAGATGGGTTACATGGAATACGTGTCAATAAGTGTCCTTATGCTATGTTATAAAAGTGCTGACATTTCCAAGTGATAGAAATTGCCGTTAGTTACAACAAGCACATGTGGTTTTCTTTCAAAAGTCAATCAGTTGTATTACCCATTTAACAGAACCATCCATTTGCAGTACTGGGTGTGAAAACTTGACCGCCGACACCAAAGAAAATAAAACGCTCCTCAAAAACAACTTTATTTGCTTCAAATACATTTTAACGTTTCAGAAAATTCTCCCTAACTGGACGTGCAGATTTCCTCAAAAAAAATCGTCCTGCCTCAATTCTCCATCCTTAAACGCGAATAGACAGTTCCATTTGGCCAACCCGTTGTCTCCGCATGCTATCGCACTTTCTTGGGGCCAAATATTAGATCTGCGTCTGGGGCGCCTCTTGGATGCTGATACTTCTTCCTTTCGCGGTTCAAGTTCTGTGTGACAGGTCTGTTCTGTTGGGACATTGACTCCTGATAATCCTCCTCCTCGAACCGTTCCGTAATGTTCAGCGTAAGCCGTTTGACGCGTTCCTTTTCCTCTTTCTGAGCCTGCTCCTGATCTTTAAGGTTCTGAGCCAGCTCCGAGTCGGCGTCCGCCTCGAACTGTTTATACTGCTGCTTGTTTCCCTTGCGTACCATCAAAACAAAACCGATCTTTGCGACGCCGCTATCTTCTGTCCTCTCTTGTAGTTGCTCATAACTTTTCTTGACGTTGCTCTTCAAAACCACCGGCACCGATATATCCACGTTTCCAGTTTTAACCGGTTCGCGCATCCTTTCCTGTATGTTTTCCGATACCATTTTGTCGAGCGCGCTCAGAAACTCGTCATCTTCAGGACATTCCACTTTGCGGGGCCCCTTTGGGATTGCCAGCGATTCAGAAACGGGCTCCGCTTCCGCCTCGCTCGTTTCCAAGTCGCCTTCTTCATCAGATCCCTGTGTATTTTCCACTGTTTCGTCTTCAGTCGCGGTATCGTCGGTAACTGGGCCTGCGGCCCCTTCAGACACGTCCTCGTCGGCTACGTCTTCGTTGTCAGTTTCCGCAATGACGTCCAGTGCGCCATCCTCACCTTTGCCTGTGGTTTCATTCAACAAGCTTTCTGCAAAATGATAGATTACCAATCTTATGTTATCTACTGGAAGATGATGTATCACCCTACCCACTCCCAGGGTGATCCTAATGTTATTAACCTCCACTTGGGCTTCCTCATAACTTTGACACAGTTTAAGTTTCGGCCGGAGCGTCGACAGTGTCTCTTTGAAGATGTGCTCCAGCGTCGGCGGGAACACCTCCTTTAATGCTTCCTTTTTGTGCCAGTAGTACATCTGCAAGAAGACCAGGTAGTAGTCGAGTTTACGTTTGCTGCTGCCACTGCTGAAGTAGGTGCCTGAAATGAGAAATAGAGGAATCATTGGCTGCAAGGTATCAAAGGCGGAAATTACCACAAGTTTCCAACAGCACGCAAGCCAGTCGTATCCTGAAGAGATGGTTGACCGGATCTAAAGGCGACGGCTCGTTAGGATCCATCGACACCCCAAAGGATATCAACGAATACAAAACCTGGAAATTATAGAGCACAACTTCTTAGACAAAAAACTGATATTTGTTGGATATAATCTTTATCCAGTTGTTAGAACTAGCAAAATTCAGTAAGATATCTACAGAAAACGTGTTATAGTATATAATCCCTTAACAACATCGACACTCCCGACTGAAACAGATAGTGAAAAATGCGATCCAAATAATGAGTAGTGTTCCAAAGAAGAATTATATTATGTTGATTATCTAGTTGAACGGGTGCATGAAAAGTATTTAGAAGAGTTAGAATTTGAGAGACAAACGGCAAAAGGCACTATAGAGAAAGAAAGAGAAAGAAAAGTTAAGAGTCACTAAGGCTAAGGAATGGAAATGACATCAACACAAAAATGGAATGAAAGGAAAAGTTAAGTATTGGGACAAAGCTTGGTAAAACAAAGTTGCAAAAATAACTTAAGATACCAAACACTTTAGTTAGGAAACAAAGAAGGAAAGAAAGTTGATTATGAGATTTAGATACGCAAAGCGAGAGAGAGAAAGAGAGAGAGAGAAAGAGAGAGAGAGAAAGAGAGAGAGAGAAAGAGAGAGAGAGAAAGAGAGAGAGAGTGTTTGTTAGAGAGAGGAGAGAAGATTATACAGCAGAAACATTGACATAGCGATTCAGGAAAAGTGTCCCAGAAAACTAGACACATTTTTTTATATTATTATTATTATTACTATTTTTAGCGCTTTGTTTATATATGTTAGTTTGGTTTTTAAATAGTTACTAAATGAACGTAGGCAACTAAAGCTTGTTCACCTTAAAGACGTCAGAGCTTTCAACCATTCTGTAGTTGTACAACTCGCCGAGATACTTGATTTGAGCGACCCGCCTCTGATTGAACTTGGGCAAGTTTACTTCCATTCCAAGTCTGATGTCCTCGAGCACACCATCGACGACTTTGGGGCCGACCTCTTCCTGATACGTTACCAGGCCGGCTAAAAGGTTGGCTAAGCACCGGATGTTAAAGTACTTGGTATTGTACGAGCCAGTCAAGCATTTGATGGTATACGCCGAGACTTCCTCGCTCGTCCAGTCTAATTTGCGCATCAGCCTCATTATTTTATCCGTGTTGTTTTTCTGCAAGTCCTGGTAGAGTAGTTTCCGGATAAACTGATGCATCGCGGGACGCTCCTTTTTAACTATGGCCACTGCTTCTGGTGGGTTAACGTAATAGTAAGCGTTTTCGATTTGAGTGACATATCGCGAATCTAGCGCCATGACGGCCTTCTTGCGCATCATTTGTTCCAGGTACACTTTGGTCCTCGGATGTGATTCGGGGCTGCAGTACAAAAACCGACCACACACCTCTAGCAAATTACACACCATTTCGATGTGGTGATGCGAGAAATCGTTGAGGAGGATTTTCAGGCAGTAGAGAGCCTCTATTTTAGAGTAGAGCTTGAATTTCACCAGTTCGCCGATGAATCTTACCACTTTGATTTTCGATTCAATGTTGATTTGATCTTTTTTCCGCACGTGGTACTTGAAATCTTGACGCAACATTTGGCATAGCTCGTTGCCGACTTCGGGCAAAGCAGGGTACAAGATGGCGACGAAACGCGCGTAAAAAGGCAGTAGATCTAACCTAACATTTTTGGATTAGAGATCATTTTTAATAATGTTTACATATGTTTAATATAATCCTACATATGCTTTAACAGGCTGACGGGGGAAAAAATCATTTTATTGTATTTTTGTTCGCTGGCCTTGAGACTGATAATTTTAGGTTATAAAGTATCCCACAAATTAATCTTTGGTCACCATTTTTACTTTTTGAGTGTAAATTTTATTTAACAGTGAATCAATTTTAATATTCCCTCGTTCATTTTTAAAAGCAACATAAAGTTCATTCCTCTTTAGTTGAAGCTACATTTTTATGTTGAAGACAATCATAATACCATAAACATACCTTGTTCTATTCACTCCAAAGAGTGCTTTAAAAAGTTTCCTTCTATTGTGCTTATTATTCAATGTCACCAAAAAATCAATGGCAGCATTATCTATCATTTCCCTGTTTACACAATTGGGCAGATTGTTCAGGAATGCTTCCAACACAATTTTATTGCTCGCGTTAGTGGTAGCTGCATCATCTTGCTCTTCTTCCGGCACAGGTTGATCATCTGATCTGCCTACCATACACATAAACATTTACCAAACCTTTTGTAAACCTTGTAACTTACTATCATCGTCCACATCTTCATTGGGCAATTCAGAATCAAGAACTTCTTCAGTTACAACCTCGGTGGGTGGTGGAGGTTGATTTTTAAGGTACGAAGTGGGAAGGAACACAGATAGTTCAGGTAGGTCACAATAAAACTTCTGTGTTTCAATATCACACCAAATATTGTCTATACTTGTACAGCTATCTTCAAAATCTGCTCCTGATCCTGTTACAACCATGCTCTAAAAATGTTTATCGCATATCAATCTACAACATTGCTTTGTTATTGACTTTAACAGTCAAATTAATAACAGATACTGTATAGTGTTAGTACCTTCTGTATATTACTTAATATGATTTCTCTAAAAAAGTGACCCCTTATCCCTCATTACTGCCAATATTACTTACATCATTACTTTTTGGCAATGACTGAACTTTCAGGACAGGCATATCTTCATCTAAAATTTCAGCAAAACTTTGAGTGTTTCCTAGCAGCTTTTCATAAGAGGACTGCATCAATTCTAATTTTTCTTTCCGTTCTTGGCTCAGTTCGCCTTTATTTTGTAGTATTTTCATGTTCTGTCTTTCAAAATTTTGCATTTCTTGATGATCCTTTAACAGGTGTTTACTTAAAGAGGCATAATAGTCCTTAAGAAGACCTTTTACATTCTGCTGTTTCTCTGGGAGTAAAAAGCTGCTTGTCGGAACAGGGAGGTCATACTTTGAAGACAGTTGCCTTATTTTTCTTGGTACTAAGCCGGCATAATCATCTCCACAGTGCTTGCAAAAACTTAAGATTATAGATATGTTAAAATGGTCTTCCTTATCCATATTTATCAAAGTTGTAAGTACTGAACCCAAAAGTGAAAAGGCGTTTTTATTGCTAAATATTCCAGCAAGCAGAAGTTCGGCATAAAACCTGAGATCCACTCTTAATTTGCTTGGATTTTGTATTTTTTCCCCAGCTTTAACAGGCAGGGCTTTCTGCCAATTTTCAAACAAATGCTGTGAGAATTCAGAATAAGTTTGGTGCAACACTGAACACATTCTAACAGCGGCAGGCACATCGTTCATCTTCAGCTTGGAATCAACTATAGCTGCAGCTATTTCCGAAATATATTTTGATAAGTTCAAACCCGTCATGTCCTTTAGGTATATTTCAACCTGCGAAGAAGAGAAATTCTTGATTTTTTTAACAAAAGCAGTGTTTTTCTTTAAACTTGAGTCTAGTTTCGTGAAATGGGAATCATTTGGTCTGGTGGCCGCAGCATTTTGGTTGGCTGCCCTTAGTGCTTGTTTCAGCTGAAATTTCTCTTCCATTTCCCGTTTGAACGAGTCCAGTAACTCCATATCTTCTGCATTCGGAGCTTGCTCGCTGTTCTCGTTTTCTGGTTCCATGTTGTCAGCCAGACTCATCGTTTTGAATTATCTTAATTTAAATGACAAGAGGAACGTTTCGTTTTGGTACTTGAGGTTAGGTTCTTCTTTTTATTTCAATGGGCCAAAACAGTCTTCAAAGTGAATGGGAGGTTGGATTTTCTATTCAAAAAAAGGGTGGTTGCTTAAATCAGCTTAAATCTGCTTAAATCAGCTCGATAAGCCAGAGACCGATCTATAATAACATAGACCACTCGAAAATGTTTATTGTTTGAATTAATATTAAAAAGAAGCTGCAAAAATTCTATTGCTTCATTTATATAAATACTAGCGATATAGAGGTAGTGTCTATACTAACAATGCAGGAACTTATGAAACCATTATGAAAAAAAGTGCGTGGATATCGCTGCTTAGAAAGAAAATGGCGCAAAGTGCTGGTTAGTGGGTGAAATATAGAGGCATGCGTCGAAAATTATTACCTTTTCTACGAAATCAATGGCGCTTGCGACGCGTCACTTTTTGCCGTAGTAGGGCCACTATATGATCTCTTAGCTAAATAGGTTTATTAACTGGCTTAATGATCCTAGCAATTTGGCCACGAGACGTGACAGGAACAACAACAATTTGTTGTGTTTCACTGAGTTGATAACGTCAGCGCCTGCTTTAGTAAATTTCGTAGGCGCACAAATTCGCAAGAATCATTGCAAGTGCATCTTTTGAGGTTGAGGCAGCAAAAAAAAAATTCTGAGGCAAATAAGAGGGCGTTAGTTCATGACTTTCCTTTTCAGAAATACAAGCCGATAGCGAGAAACGCATCTAATAAATGATTTAACCGCAGAAATGAAATGTGAACTTTTTCAAAATTTTTGCAGAATGGAGTTTGAAGACTTTGAATTTCTATTAAATCTAATTGGCCTGAAAATACCAAAGCAAGATACTTCATTTAAAGAAGCACTACCAGCAAAAGGAAAGGTAATGCTTGCTTTACACAACCTAGCTATAAGAGATTCATACAATTTTTAAATTATTGAACAACTTATGTCAACATAATACCAAAATTTTGTTTTACCATTATTGAAGATAAGTGTCCTGGTAGCAGAGGCTCGTCAAAGTAATGTCATTTTCGAGTTATAAGTGGTCGCTAGTCGTCAGTGGCCCGAAAGACCCGTAAAAAAAGTCTTATTAACATCTTAAAAATGACCTTGGAATGTCGTCATAAAATGACTTGATTAATTCCAGATATGCACCTCATGACGTAAAAGAATATATCTAGAGGGTGTCGAAATAGTGTGTCAAAGTAATATATCTCATTTTTTTACTAGATGAGATTAAAAGAAATAATTTATAATTATGTTCAAATGTACAGGGTGAATAATAAATGTGGGGAAAATCAAACCTATTTTTTTTTTAATTGCACATCCTGTATATTATGGCATTATTAGATACTCTCCTTTATAGTCAATCACCCAATATAGGGTTCTTATGGTCTATACCGAATGTTTTTCTGCTCTGTGTTTAATACCTTATATTTTTGACGCGGTTTCCGATAGCTGCAATTTTATTATGCCCACCATTTTATAAAATGATTTATGCATTAACAATTCTCAATTTTCTGCAACTGCAAAAGACGTTCTATGTAATTTCATTTACTTTACTCACTTTGCTTACTACTTACTACCAAAAAGAAAAAAGCAATTTAAAAATCGATATATATTTCGGCAGTAATGACCAATGACCAATGACTTTAAATTGACGTCACTTAAATGACAAAAGTTGACAATTCAAGTTGACGTAAAAAAGCCGAGACTTGAATGATAAAAATTGACGACACTAATTGATGTAAAGATATTAGTAGGTTAAATTAACGTCTTGCTGACGTCATATATAACGTCATTTTCGTAATTTTGTGACTAGTTACTGAGTCGTATTGTGTATATACTATCATTGAAATGTCGGAAACTACAATGAAATAAAGAGTCGGTAAAATCGACGAAAAAGTTGATCAACTCTATAATTCTTTTAGTCTCTGAGATTCCAATGTGTTTACTGTTTCGAAACACCAGTTCTTCTAGGAGCTAAATCTAAATTAAAAATTCAACGAATAACATTCCGTACCACCTTACATACGCACAGACTGAAACAGACTGAACAAATAGCTCGAAATTCTCTTTTGATGTACTGCCTAGTAAACGCTTGCGCAGGTGAACGAATGATTAGATACGGTTCGTTAGTACCTACACACCATACAAACCAGTTCATTTGTTAATGTTCTTTCTCTTTCGTTCCCTGAATCCATTCGCTTTTATTAATCAAAAAGTTTTACAGCATCGCTAAGTCACATCGATTGATTGCTCGAACAAAAATAAGTGAACTTTTTATTAACTACAAACTAATGGTGTACATTATTTTCGTCCCAAAGTTATAAGTGGACTGTAGACGGTATTCGGTAACGCGTGGATATTTTGAAAGTAATAATTGGCCGTATATTCCTCTGGTTTGCTGTTAATATCTTTTGTCTTCTGGAAGACCACCCTCTGCAGCCGACCGTCAGGCTGCTGAACGTAAAACAATCCGCTACCTCCTGCGACCGCTGTAGCTACCGATACGTTTGGATCATCGATACCGTCTGCATCTGTAGATTCCGTAGCCTATTAAAAAATAACGTTTTTGTCGTTGAATTTTTGAAGCTGATTTATACTCACCTGGTTGTCGTTTCCACCATCGGGAACGGATGATGCGACGGTGGAAATGGGCAACGGAGCCTGGGTAGCGAAATACGGAGTTCTAGCTGTCGTAGGTGGAATATAATTTTGACCAGGTTGGCTCGCGATTTGTTGCGGGTTCGACTGTAACTGGCCCAAACCCCCAAAGTCGGAATAAAAATCGGCGGGTCCTTGAATGGGTAAGTGTTGGGTGGTAAATCCATTCAAAAGGTTCCCTTGTCCAGGGTTGTTTTGTACTTTATCAAAAGTTTCCAAATTTTTGTTGTTTGGCAATCCGTACTGATTCGAAGGCCTATTTTGAGGTGGTCCATACTGAGATTGGGGTTGTTGGCTGTTGAGCGTGCCAGGTATGTTGTGGACCGGCAATATTTGCTTGTTTGGAACGAGTTCGGTTGCTGGTGGTCTATATTGGGAAGGATACGTCGATATTTGCTTGCTGGGTACCCCGTAGCTTGTTCGCGGAGGTGTTCCGTAAGAGGTGCTCGGTAGCTTTAATTTTGAACCTTGCAGTTGCTCGGTGAGGCGGATGAGTTGCTCGATCGTAACTTTGGGAGGGAGATCTACCGCCAATGAACTACTGAGTTGTTGGGGTTGCGAAAACCGAAACAGTTGTGGGCTCGGATTGAAAGCTCTCGGTGACTGAGGGGGTGGTATTTCGGCTGCCGCCAAACTGCACGCCAGAAGAACGCTTAAGATGATCTGTAAACGACCGCCCTAGGTTTTAAAGAATTTTTCAATCGTTGACTTCTGGATCGAATTTGCTGATCAAGAAACAAGGGAGTTCCACAGCTCCAGAATGTCAGATTTTGAAGAACTCTTCATAAATGGTTATAATAATTACGGTGATAGAGGGTGTCAGAAGCACCTGCGTTGATGTATATGTAATATTTAATATTTAAGTGATTTAACTACCAAATTGGGAGCAACAGGGCCACCAGCAAATTACATTAACGATTCAAATATAATTGTAACAAAAAAGTCCAAATCAGAAGTCATATAAGCCGCAATCGAGTGCGTTTCAATTATGAGCGAATGGTGTGGTGATAATGGATATTAAATGCAACCAAATCACAAATTTTACAATTTTGTGTAAAAAACAAAACTATCTAGGAAAGTTTTTTAGTTAGCACTAAAAAATCTCATGCAGAAATTGTTTTGTATCTTTAAGCTTTACTGAAATTACCATCATCGATTTACATTCTTTCACAAAACAAAATAACACAATTATTACAATAGGTAAATCAAACGTAGTTCAACAAATCTCAAGTAACCAAAACCCATGAATTGTCGGCATTAAGTGTTTTAATAAAATGGTGAATCTGGAGACCACGTCAAATTTAAACTTGTACTACTTGCTGCATTAGATACTTAAGAAATAATTTAGGCAGTGTAGCGAAATACAAAAATTATATTATATTCTAAAAAAGGTTTTATATTGAAGTAACATTTAAAAAAGGGGATTTGTATTCAGTTCCCGTCACGCAGTATGAAGAAAGAGTGATTCATATATTTTTTATGTTTTCACTGGGCAGCCCAGGCGCCACAACATTTTCGTAAACGTAATGGGACAATTCCTATATACCCACGCATTATAAACTTAAGTTTCAACATGAAAGACGACGCTTAAAACAGGGAATGTAAATACCGTAAAATTGGAAACACGACAATTCATTCATAAAATCAGTATAAGCCGACAGCCGACATCAACTGGTGATATAATCGATGCAATGCAATGCAATGCAATGTGTGGTTCAGTCACGTTCTACCGTTGGAAATCTTCAAGCTGTGCGATGTCACCATAGGTGTAGCTTATCTATGAGAATTGACGCTCTGTTGATCGTCGCTCGTTATTAAACACGCTAAACAGCTAGACAATTAAATATGACGTCCAATTTCTAAATTTCAAAAGTCTGAAAGCATCTGATGCCTTCTGATAGGTCAAAATGTTTACCTATTGTAGTAAAATGCGCTATTATCGGACTTGTCGGTCTCTTTGGTTTTTCACTCGTGCATGCACATATTGAATATGGAGAGAATCTGTTTGGTAGAGCTGGATATAGTTTATGCATATAGGCACTAGAAATATAGAGGCCCTGTCTATGCCGATAATAAACTTATGAAACAACTACGAAGACATTTTTGGGAAAGTCTATTCAACAGGTGCATGCGCGAGATTTAAAATATCCTTTTTAACCAACAACCCTGCGGCATTCAACAATCAACATGGTCGCTGACAGGTCGTCAAGTTTTAGAAAGAAAATGGCACAAAGTGCAGGTTAGTAAATGAAATGTATCTGCGGAAAATCATTCTTCTCTGCGAAAATATCAATGCCACCTGCAGCGTATCAATGAACGATCTTAATAATAATATAATAATAATTTGAGCGGTCCTCGTATGTGCTACGCTCTTCACTTATGTCGAAATAATTATCCAGCAAAACAAACACATTCCGGGTTCTTATTGTTGTTATTTCGCTTCGTGATCGCGCCATTACACATCACCTAACATAAAATCTCCCGACCAGGCTCATTAAATTTACATGTTTATGCTTTCGTCGATATTCTGCTCGTTTATTGTACCACGACGAGTGTCGTTGGTATTTACGTCGAAACGCTCGATTTGAGCTTAATATTATTGGTGGAAAACATTTTTTTTGTTTGATTGGTAAAGGATTTTAAATATTTGATATCCTGCCGAACAGTGGATGACACAAAAGAAAACGTTGCAAATTCCTAAATAAAGCATTCTGACTTAATTTGTATAAGGCACGAAGGTTTTAAAGTTAATTATAACAAATATGACACGATTTAACGACAATTTTAATATAAGAAAGATATGGAGTAGGCGATGTTGAGACTTCTAAAAATTGAACCAATCAAATAGTACTTTGGTTGTCGCTTGTCGTGAGCCTTACACCAAAGCACATAATACATGTACCGTGTGATGCATTGCCTAACGGAAATTTTTAGGTGCCCAAATATTGGCTCCCTTGTACATTGTACAGCAAAGTTGTAATATAACTTTTTGAAGGGCCCGGTATGATTATGGAATTTTAATAAGCCAATCTTCAGTTCAATACAGGTCAATACAACAAACACCAGCAAATATGTTCCGTGACGTTATATCCAAAACTTGACGACGTCAAACCGGACAATGACATATCAAATAAAGGTTGGTTTACGATAAAGATATGCACATTTGGTTTTACACATTCAATATAAACTAAGTGTCATTATTATGTCTTTCTTAGGATCAAACCTCAAACCATTCTTGGAATGAGTTTCATTTAAAGAACGTTTTAAGCAACAGGAACAAGGAACAACTATAAATTTCAAATCACGTCGTTTCTTATATATAAACATTTTTTAAATAAATGCCCAAACAACCCTCCATTAACGGTAAAATCACATCATAAAATTCATTTCTAACATTGCTTAGTTGGTGTTGTGAAATCCTGTCACAGTCTAAGGAAATAGCGTTTTGTAACTGGTTAAGATTTTGAAATTTAACATTTTGACCTCACATTAAGAAGTCGTTCAGAGACCTGGGTGGCCAATGGATTCGGCACCTTGGGCCAATAATATTCCCGTTAAAAGGGCTTCCCAAATACTTCCTAACCATACATCTGGTACCAGAGCTCCTGATCTTCTCGAACAACTCCTTCTAGTGCAGGTTTAATTTGATTTTGTAATAAATCCAAATAGGTTTCTGCCATAAGGTTATAGTCCATAAAAAATAGCTAATAATATGATGTCCGCAAATTCCCACCATAACATTTATTTCTTGAGGATTGTTGGCTCCAATACCGACAGTACGCTGTTTAGTGTGAATGTACATCCATCAGTAAAACAAATATTTTTTTGAAAAATCCATACCATTATTTGCTTTTTCCGTTAGTTCAAAACAAAATGCTACTTTTCCTTTTTCATCGCTTTCCCGAAGCTCTTGGTACTTTTCTTATCTATAGGAAAAATATTTGTGTTTTTTTAATGGGCGCAAAACTGTTTTGATGTTTATTTCCAGCTGGTTGAAGGATCCTCGTAATAACCATTTTGCTTTCCTCCACATGCAGTAAAATGTTCAAATCTCTATTGTCCCTTTTTTCTACTCTATTATCGACATTTTCTGCTTAACATTTGCAGTTATTTATTACGTATATACGCGGTATACGCTAAGCGGGAAAAGAAACTTAAAACATTTCATACACTCCTCTAAGACGCTTTGAACCAATATGATCTTTCGGCTTTCAACAATTAACATGGCCGTTGACAGTTTTAACCTCGGATGGAGCATTTTTTTGGCAATATTTTCGTAAAATTTGCCCAGATGAAAATAAATTTTCAGGAAAAAATGAGTAACTGTGTGGAGATTGCTGCTTAGGAGAAAATGGCGCAAAGTGCCTGTTTTTCTATGAAATTTTAAGGCACGCGCGGAAGATTATTCTCGTTTGTACGAAAATTTCATAGCCGCTTAGGTGCACCAATTTTACTGTATTTTGCGGTTTTATAATATATCATTTTCAAACAATAACACCTCCACTATAAACCAACTTTTTTCGGCAGTAATTTATGAAAATATGCACAGATCTCGTTAAATGTTCAACGAAAAACCGAGTGAAGTGTTTGGAGATCGATGTTTAGAAAGAAAATGGCGCAAAGTGCAGGTTCATATTTGAAATTTAAAGCCACGCGAAGATCATTTCCTTCTCTACGAAAATATAATAGCCTCCTGTGACTCAGTTTTCACTATCCTAACGGCTAGGTTGAAACCTGCACTGTCTTGTAACACCGTCAATTTTAACCTTGCTAAATTCAGTACAGTTAGGTCAAGGTTATCACAGAATGTCTAAACAAAACTAAGCAACTACTTTCAGAACAAAAAGTAACTCTGTGACATTAATTTTTTTTATCAGCACGCAAATTCAGATATAAACAGATATAAATTGTTGTACCATTTTCAAAATACTAATGATTAAAAATGAAGTTAACATTTGTATGGTCTGTTCATAGATATAAGAAAGTGACCAATTGCTTTTGAATGGGATTATCCAAGGGTGGTCATTAACATACAATGCAACCAGCTTATTACCTAAAGTTTGGGAATTTAAATTCAGGTAAAATTGTGGTGCGTAATAGAAAATAATTTTATACCTACCTGTGTTTAATATTCTTTGGTTTCGTATACTACTTAGTTTAAGTTTATTAGTAGTCATTTTTATTTCGTATGTAATACAGCGTGTGTTGAATCGTGTGCGAATTATGCAAAATATGTGCGAGTCTAGTGTATCTCAGGAGATGCTCCCACCCAAATGTAGAAAACACTATTCTATTAAGACTAAGGAAGTTATAAACAATGTTTACTTGACTCTCTCATTGAACGTGGTGCCAGCAAGCAAGCATCTTTAGAAGAAACGGCCACATTGACGAAAATTCCAACATCAACTGTATGGAAAATTGTGAATAAAAAATAAAAGAAGCGATGCTGACATTTTCTCGAGTGTAGATGAAAGTGATCAAGATATAATACGGCGTAAAATTTATCAGTTATACGAGGAACAAAGCGTGCCTATATTAGATATCTTAATTAGGAGGCTTGAAACCGGTGTTAAATGTGGCAGAACTACCTTATGGAAGTGTATTCAGCACATGGGTTTTACATTTAAAAAAATTGACAAAAGGCAAGTTTTAATGGAATCTTTTAGAATTCGGAAATGGCGACTGGAATATCTAGAAAAAATTAGGATTCACAGAGAACAACAAAGGCCAATTACTTACTTGGATGAAACCTGGTCCGACACTTATGATACCCCTGAAAAGGGTTGGGTTGACTCAACTGATAAGTGTAAAACAAACGCGCCATCAAAAAGAGGTAAAAGAATAACTATTTTGCATGCTGGCTCTAAAGATGGTTGGATTCCAAATGGAATATCTCTGTCTGCGAAAAATATTAAAGATTCTTCTCTGGATTACCATGAAGATACCACCGCTGATTTATTTTAAAGTTCGTTTAAAAACAAATTAGTTCCAGACATTCCTCCTAATAGCGTCAGTGTAATGGACAATGCAAGTTATCACAGTAGACAGTTGACTAAAACCCCTTCCTCATGTGACACAAAAGCCATAATCCAAAACTACATGTATAAAAACGACATTTATGTTCACGAAGATTATACCAAAAAGCAATTAATTGAGGTTCTACAAAGCTTGAACCTACAAAAGGAATACGTCTGTGATAGTTACGCAAAATATCTAGGGCATACAGTGTTAAGGCTTCCACCTTACCACTGTATATTTAATCCCATTGAACATGTTTGGCACCAACAGAAATCTGCCATTCGTCGTAACAATATTTTTCTCCGTGTTAACTCCAATGTCTTTAAACTTATAGAATTATTACAAATAATAATTTGAACAGGCAATGGTAGCGATAGTGATACTGATATATTATGTGAATAATTTTAAGCAATTTAAGTAGGTAATAAAAATAATTTGTAATTTTATTTTAGATTTAAACATAAATACATACATAAATAAATAAATATTGTTTAGAATCTATCCTAACAAAACCCTAAATAATTAAATTCTAAGCAAAGTACGGACCTGTTCGGCCATATTTCATTCTTGCACGGGTCTTTCCTTAATTCGTATCAGTTAGTCACTTTGTTATATCTATGAACAGACTTTACCTGCTTGTATGGTTTTGATAATATTGCTACTAATAGTACTTTATTAAAAACAATTTGAAAGCTGCCGCTATTGAAGAAATATTCCTGTCATAACGTGAAAGACAATGATAAAGGCGAAAAACGAATAAAGTTTTATCAAAAATAAATTGATTCAGGAAAATGTAACATCTGAAATGACAAGAATTTAATCTAAAAAGCAGAATTAGATTTAAATTTGGAGTGTTTTTTAAATGATCCTATATACCGTAATTTGCTTACGTGTGTTAATAGCAATCGATATGAATAAGATGAAAAGATTAAAAATTATAGAAAGGGTGTTCCCAAGTTAACAGGTTAGTTTTGAATTCGGCAAGTGTGCACCAACCCGATTGATGATGTATCACGGCAGCCAGTTTAATTTTCAAATAAATACAACATTAAAAAACACTCTTACCTTCATTATAGTTATAAGTAGTTTTGTGGCATACTGAATGGACGAGTATCGTCGCGTGAAATTTATAAACTACTTCGCTGGAGTCATTTGTATTCACAAGAGAATCCAAGCACGTTGTATTGGTTTAAAGTACAATGTAAAATACGCACTCGTATAAAATTTACCTATTGTTTTTCGTTTTGTTTACGACCCAAATAGTTTAATTTTGCAATCAGTTTCGGCACAATTTTTCCCCAACAATTTCTCCAAATATTTCGCTCCCTGTGCACAAGCCAAAACCGCACATTTATTTTGATGGGTAGTAGAATTGCTGTGGACCATGTTGGACTAAGCAAAATTTTAGACAAAACAGCTTTTCGTACATTATTGGAATGTTTGATGCACTTTATTTTGGAGGAAATCAAATTCCACCTTTTACACTTCATAACAGTTTAATACCGGTTTCCCACTTATTGAACCAAACAGAAACAAAACACAAACTCAAAAAGTTTCGCGAGAGCCTACTCGTTTTCTTTTGTCGACGATTTTTTTTTTACTTTGCCAGACTAGTAGGTAAAGATAGTATTAATAAAGTATTTTTATATATAGAACATTTATCAAAAACAAATAAGGGGGTAATTTCTTGTTAAAATTAAATTTTATTATATAAACGCCAACCATAAAGGACACATCGCGCTACAAATACGGAGGCAAAAAAATGTTTTTATTTTTTTATCTGAAAAACGAAAATAAATAAAATAATAAAATATGACGGACGTATTATTATTATAATAACACACTTTCTGCATATTTTTTTATTTTTTTTTATATGTGGAGGGCATTGAATTTGACCCCTCCTATTCTTCTTATTTAGGGAAAAATTAATGCAACAACATTTGTTTAATTTTGTATTTTATTTGGAGACTTTTGTCTCTTGAAATTTTGCGAAATACTTACCGTTTACAAATAAAAACAAATCTAACTCTTAATGAGATAAAAAAACTATTGAATTTGTGTTACTTCTTAAGGTGTTTCTTATTATAGGTTTATTTGACATTGCTCAGTTAGTTTGAATACAAAATACAACCAATTGAATCACAAATTCATTACCTAATCATGAAATTGTTCAATAATAGGAGTTTTAATTCAATAATGCGGAAATGGCAGATATGCATTTTATGTACGCGTGTGCCAACGGAAATTCTGTTGAATCTTGTCGTTTTTATACACAAGCGTATCCTAATCGTAGATTTCCTCAGCTTAGCATGTTTAGCTGGAGGTCCGGAGACAAGTACCAGGAAAATTGCAGCTGTAGCAAAACAACAACAGTTATGTTCATATCACGTACAGAGGGTTCAAACTCTTTAACAAAGAGATTTGGAACCAAAGATGGCTTTCTATCAAAAGTTTAGTGAAGAAGAATTTATAGGAGAAGTCTAGTTTTTGCAATAGTAATATTTTATTTTTCTATCTATTTTCGTTTTCAATGAAAGCATTCTTAATCTTCCTCGTTGAAACTTGAAGTTTAATACTGTATTAAGTGTTTTATTTGAATTTTAGTCAAAAAATACCAAGAAAAAATTGTAATTAGAAGAAAGAAGCAAGTTTCAGATATTAAGGTATTTAAATAATCAATAAAAGAAAAACAAATAAATAGTCAACAACTTAAATCATCCAAAACTTCGAACAAGTAAATTTTCGTTGTGTTTGTAATAAGATCGTAAAAATGGTGAATAATGTGAATTATCTTTATCAAAAAAAAATAGAAAAAACATGGATGATGAAAATCGCTTTCTCTGCCAATAAATTTTACTGAAGTAATAACCAATACATATGCATATAGGTAGTTTATTCACAAGATCAGTACAATATGTTAATGCATATATCGTCAAAGTCGAGCCGACCATCGTATTTTTTAAAACTTAGGATCGATATTTTTATCGTCGAAAAGTTTCATTTGATTGCAAGTTGCAAAACGCCGTAGACGGATTACATACGATTCATTTCGTTACGTTTTACGTGACAAATTTCGGGAGACCCTAATTAATTAAAAAAAGAAGAAAGCGCTGCTTCGTTCGTGACTGCACATACAAGTGCAATATTAATAAATAGCTTCGATTCGGAACCGCCGTTCGTCATATCTAAGAGAAGTGGAAAACAGGCTATTCCGTCGATTGAACTTTGGCGTTCTTATCCGAGGCTCCACCTAGTAACTGGATCAGATTCGGCCAAACAGCGACCTCGGTAGCGCTTGGAACCATGTTGCTTCCGAGCAAATCGGGCCTGAAGCAGCCTCCGCATCTGGCGAACGTGGAATAGTCGCTGTAGAAATTTTCTGGGCAAGTGGAACAGTCTACGGGTAACTGACGACAAAAATTCGGACCTAGACACCACGATTGGTACGAGCGTTCCAGCCTAGAACACGCTCCTTGACACGGATCGATAGGTTGGAACATGAAGCGACTCCTGCAGGTACTTCCGCACTGGGTCTGACCTAACCAGGGACATCCGTATGGTACGCAAGGATGTATCACATTGCAGCATCCTTAAACATAAAAAGAATACCGTAGTTGATGAAATGGCAAAGCCTTATGATGGGGTAAAGTCTGTTCATAGATATAAGAAAGTGACTAACTGATACGAAGTAAGGGAAGATCCGGGCAAGCTGTAAGAATGAAATATGGCCGTACAGGTCCGTACTTTGCTTAGAATTTAATTATTTGGGGTTTTGTTAGGAAAGATACTAAACAATATTTATTTATTTATAACCAAAACTACAAATTATTTTTATTACCTACTTAAATTACTTAAAATAAAATTATTCATATAATATATCAGTATTACTATCGCTATCATCGCCTGTTCTTATTATTATTTGTTCTATATTATTTGCAATATGGATATACAATTGTTCTAGTTTTTCTATATGTTTAACAGAATTTTCCCAACTTTGTGGAGGGATGTTAAAAACTTCAGTTTCTATAAGTTTGAGGGCATTGGAGTTGACACGGGGAAAACATTATTACGACGAATGGCAGATTTCAGTTGGCGCCAAACATGTTCAATGGGATTAAATATACAGTGGTAAGGTGGAAGCTTTTAAACTATATGCCTAGATTTTTTTTTCAAGTTTTGTAGAACCTCAATTAATTGCTAGTTTGTTTTCAAACCAACTTTCAAATAAATCAGCGATGGTGTCTTCATGGTAATCCAGAGAAGAATCTTTAATATATATCGCAGACAGAGAAAGTCCATTTGGAATCCAACCAACCATCTTTAGAGCCAGCATGCAAAATAGTTATTCTTTTACCTCATTTTGATGGCGCGTTTGTTTTACACTTATTAGTTGAGTCAACCCAACCCTTTTCCAGGGTATCATAAGTGTCGAACCAGGTTTCATCCAAGTAAATAATTGGAATTTGTTGTTCTGTGTAAATCCTATTTTTTTCTAGATATTCCCGTCGCCATATCCGAATTCTAAAAGAATCCATTAAAACTTGCCTTTTGTCAATTTTTTTGAATCTAAAATCCATGTGTTGAATACACTTCCATAAGGTAGTTCTGCCACATTTAACACCGGTTTCATCTTTTTCAAGCCTCCTAATTAAGATATCTAATTTAGGCACTCTTTGTTCCTCGTATAACTGGTAAATTTTACTCACTTTCATCTATACTCGAGAAAATGTCATCATCGCTTCTTTTTTTCCTAGCTGAAACGGGATTGTTCACAATTTTCCATGGAGTTGATGTTGGAATTTTCGTCAATATGGCCGTTTCTTCTAAAGATGCTTGGTTGCTGGCACCACGTTCAATGAGAGTGAAATAAACGTTGTTTATAACTTCCTTAGTCGCAATAGAATAGTGTTTTCCACATTTGGGCGGGAGCACCTCTTGAGATACACTAGACTCGCGTATATTTTGCATAATTCGCACACGATTGAACACACGCTGTATTACACACGAAATAAGAATGATTACTAATAAACTTAAACTAAGTAGTATACCAAACCAAAGAATATTAAACACAGGTAGGTATAAAATTATTTTTTAACACGGACCACAATTTTACCTGAATTTAAATTCCGAAACTTATTTTAATAATTTTGTTGCATTGTATGTTAATGACCATCCTTGGATAATCCCATTCAAAAGCAATTGGTCGTTTTCTTATATCTATGAACAAATCATACAAATCTTACTCAATCGATAGGAAAACACATTTGGATTAAACATTTTTCAACATTCAAAATCAATTCACTGTATTTGGATACTTATTATATTACGTTACCGGAAATAGAGAATTATATCCACCCAAAAAAAAACTGTGTTTGAAAGGGCAACATTTTTTCTGAAAGGCAAAGAAAACCACCTTCATACGGAATACAGGCACCTAATAGAAACGTGGAACAATAACGTTAAGCCTAACCAATCTGAAGATATATAAATAGATAGATAATGGGAATCAGGGATCCCACAACAAGGGAACTTTTATTAACAATTGATAATTTAAGTTTAAATGCTATTTTGCCCCATATCTAAACAAAGCAGAAATGAAACTTTATATTTCGATGCAGATAGAGCAAAAATATCAAATAAAAACGGATGTGAAAAATACGAATTTACAAAGAGAAAAGCAAAAAGCAAATTTATTATTTATCAAATCATTGACCTGCGGATGGTCAGATTTGTAAGTTTTTGACGGTAGTGAAGTTGAGGCTATTAGATTTGTAAATTCATATTGATTTAAAGCGAGTATTTTTTCGTGTTTTCACATGCACCAACATCTAAAATAAGTTGTAGCAGCTTTACTTGAAATATTTTCAAGTTCTTGAAATGGCTGCAAGACTGCGCGACCTTTGTGAAGAATAAGAAATTGGTTAATTTCTAAAAAGAGAGAAAAATATTTCAATCTTAGTGGGAAGTTTATAGCGGAAAATGTAAACAATGTCACATTTTGATTTTGTTTTGCAATAATTGGAGATATTAAGGTATCGCGCAGTCAGTAGGATGACCTTCACAGATACAATCGGTATCCTGATAGTACATCGGTTACACTGTTAACTTTCTTACCTGTGCGTACTGGTAAGAAGATCGGTACCGGATACGGTATTGGAATGCTAGTGGTTGAGTTGCAGTTAGGAGTTGGAGATTCTGAGTTCACGTTAACCAAGTTGGTGTTCTCTACGGTTACGTTGATCGGTATGGTTAAGGTATTTTGAGTCCTGACGATATTTTCGATGTGGACAACGGTCGGTAACGTGAAGTTGTTGTTGTTAACGTTGGTGGAGTTAACAATTATGGGTGGGGATTCTTTAGGTGCCGGCGCGGGAGTGGTAGGGCACGAGCCGCAGGGATTTTCGCAAGAGTCGCAGGGGCTACAGCTGCCGCGGTTTTGACAGCACGATGATCCCCGACAAGCGACAGCCGCTTCCGACATGAGAGCCGCCACGAGTACCAAAACCGCGGGATTCTGCAAATTTTTGCAAACATTTTTTAGTAAAGTTGTACTTGAGAAATAGAAAATAATATTTGCATGCTGATAACAAGCAGCTGAAAATTTTATTTGTAATATCAAACAATACCATGGTGGGAACTATGGAAAATTAAAATAAAAAAATGTATGTTAATATGTACAGGGTGGCTCGTTTAAGAGAGACGTATACCTTATCTCGAAACATGCAGAGGTTAAAAAAAATTAAATACAAAAGTTGTTTCAATTAAAATAACTTTTTTTTAAGTTCCTAATCGTTACACGGTGGTAAAACAAATTTACATTTTTTTAATGGAACACGCGACATTTTATTGTATTTTTGGATAGTCTGTGATGCACCGCTTCGAACTTATGCCGAATTCGGGTTATGTTTAAACCATCATTGTTGGTTTGCTTATTAACTTTTTCAACTTGTTTCGATTTATTATTTTTACGAAAATAATGCTTTTCTTTAGGCAATGATCAAATTTAAAATATTCTCTTAAAATACGCGGTGTTGCCACGTTTCGCAAAATGATACTTTTCTCAATATGAGACACCCTGTATATTGGATTTTCGAATAGCCACTTTAATAGCAATTTCGTTTTGGCTTAATTAATACATTTTACATTCATAATTTAAGAATCTTGTAAATAAGCTGCTTAAATGGAAAAAAAAACTTTTAAAAAATGTTCATATTCTTAATAATAAAGACCACATGTCTATAAAAATATATAGAAACCTGCCCGTTTGTAGTTCTCTGTTGTGGTAATATTACTGATTTTTTGACAGGTATCAGTGTATTATAATTTTGTTTTATGTAAACGAAGCAGGAAAAAGTTGACCTATTAGAATGTTACATCGCCAATAACCAAAATCCGGCTATTGCTTTCATACAATATAGAGCCAATTTCCCCCATAGGCGATTGCCAGGAAAAAAATATTTGCCATGATATACCAGCAATTTCGAACAAATGACATTATTTTGGTGTTTAAAAGTAGGAGTCAACCTTTTTTGGATGATAATATGGAGCTAGAATTCTTCTGCATTTTGAAAGTACTCCAGAGACCTCCACTCGCCTTGCCGCTTTAAATGTAGACCTAAGACGAACCACACTTCAAACATGTTTAAAAACAGTTATAAGCCATTTAAATTCACACCAGTGCAAAAACTACAAGAAGCAGATTTTAACTTGAGATTACCATCTCCTCGCCAGCGAGAAGTCCAGATTTGACCTCGATTTGGTTTACAAAGATACCGCAAACAGTTTTGGAAGTGCAAAAACGAGTTCGCGCGACAATACACTACCTGAATGAAACGAATTACTTCTCAGATGCCATATATCATTTACAAATAGCATATACTACTTGTATTCTTTAAAACGGCATACATATTGAATTAGTTGTTGAATAGTTTCATACTCATACTCATATATATCGTTGAACTTGTCTTTAAAATGACTCTCCAAAATGGAATAAAATGTAGGGTGTTCTATTTAAAAAAATGTAACTTTGTTTTACCACCCTGTATATAAAAAAGTGACGATTAGGAAATTAAAAAAAAGATCGTTTTAATGGAAACAACTTTTATATTTATTTTTTTTTGTAACGCCCGCAGGTTTCGAGATAAGGTCTTTAAGGCCTCTCTTAAACGGGCGATCCTGTACGTACTTACAACTGATCAAAAATTTCAGAAAATGTTTTATTATTTCTTTATCCACCTACCATAATTCTCGGGCCACACTCGCGACACCACAGCTTAAATAACAATAATAAAAATGAAAAATAAAGGGACATTATTTATAGCAAATATTGGCGAGATATTTTTGTATAATCTCTTTTTTATGGACAGTCGCTTATTCCAAGAAATCTCAGCCACCAATGTACGCGTAGTACTAAAATCGAAGCGGCCTAAAATAACTAATGACACAATTTAAAAAAAGTGTTCTGCTCTCCAATCAATGTCGCCAAGTTTATTTTAAAATATTAATTTAAAGCTTAATTTGGGGAGAATACGCAGAGCAAGTTTTCTGGAAAACATATTTTTGTTTATGTCATCTAAACAACATTTCTAGGTATCTTTGTGGAATTTGGCAAACACATTCTGTGCATCAAGACGAATTTTCATGCGCACAACTTTCTTTTACCAGTGGCGTTCGTCCGCGATTTGTATTGGACATTTTTGAAGGATGAAAAATAATAAAATTTTGCAACACTGAATAATAATTTTTGAAAAAATAAATTTCAGTTTTAAAACCTTATTGTCAAATCACTCTTTGTTGACTTAAACCAAGTGGTTGGCCGTCAGAACCATCCTGACTTTATAATGTGTTTATAATTTAAAAAAAATCTGTCAAAACGATATATACTGTTGCATTTCTTTTATCAAATTTGACAATGATATCCAGAAAGAATATTTTTTTGGATAATATAGATAATTTTTGCCACCCACCAGTTAAGTTAAGACAAGTTTTGTTCCTAAAATGAGCTCTAGAACTATCCTCGTAGGAAAACGCTGTATATAGCATACGCAAAATGTTCTCACGCAGCAGCGTAGGTGGAAAACTGGCTTCCTTAACAAGCAATATGCTAGTGGAAATTTTGAAAATTTGGTTGGTGAAAGTTTAGTGCGCAGGCTAATTATTTAACGATTTTCTTAAGTTATATAAAACAAACCTATCAATAATTGTTGTTCGTTTTTAGGCCTACAATATTTCCAAACAAATCGTTTCTTGGTAATTTTATGAAGCGGGTCGTTTGCTCGAAATAAAGAGCAGTTAATAATAATTATTGTTTTGAACTCGAAAAAGGACGCGAACGTGGGTCAGCGAGGTTCAAGACCGCGATAAAAGCCTATTTTTTTAAGGTTTTGCTGCGTTTTGTTGCGGATGCAACAAAATACATGCACGCGGTAGCCCAAAAAAATCTATGCCGAAGTAAGGTGATCTTATGTCCCATTGCAATTCCTGCATTTGTGCAATTCACTATATCGCCAGAGATTAACTGTTAAGTGCAAAAAATTAAATTAACCGAATGAGTATTTGTATCTGCAAACATTATTAGGCAGTTTAGCGAAATATTAATTTAATTAATTTGAATAAAGGGACATCAGGCATGAAAAACTCAGGGGGTGGCTTTTATGTTAGAAATAAGTAGACTATGAAAGAATGTTAGCTGCATACCATTTTTATCTACAAAAATATGCGTAGCCTCTTCACAGAATCCATTTACTAAATTTCACGAAGATACCTAAAATAGTTAAAAAAAGATTTTTAAAATTTCACCATGATGTATGTTCAAAATTATATCGTTTAGAACATACGTTGTATGGTTGTCTAGCACTATCTAGTATTCAGCTAATTTTTGTTATTGGTTTTGTACTGGTTATATCATGTGGAAGTCGTCTTTGTATTTGCAAATCCCATCGACGACCAATAGTAATTATCAGTTGAGACTTCACGGAGTTTGCTACTGAAATTTCTACGTTTAAATCTATCTTCACTGATTCTTGCAGACTGCTAGACTAGGCATCATTAAAACATACAGTTCCCTGCGGTACCCTTATACCTGTTTAAACCAAAGTTCCTGGCGGCTCTAAGGATGCCGAGAAAGATGTTGCAGTCGTTATTTGCGATACACTGTGTATACGCGTTATTTCGTAGCCGAATAGGCAAATCCAATCCAAAAAAAGGGGTTCCGTCATTTGGAAACCACGATAAAACTGAAACGAACTTGAAATTACGATTGTTTGACGCGTGTGACCTGTCGACTAGCTGCACAAGTAAAAGTCTGAACTGAAATCGTCTTTACAATGACCAGCTGGACCCGGGTGAGACTAGTTTTTTTTATTAGTATCGCACACTTCACATTAAATTATGAAAAATTTTTTTGTGGTGTGTGATAATCGGAAAATCGATTTTGATATATACCTTGAGATTACTGGTATGGCGGGAAGGTTGAATAAATGGATATGAAATCGTCAGATATACATACACAAATACACAGTACCCAATTGAAATATTGTTATTTTTTAGGAAATAATTTTTACTGAATTAAAAATTTAGATTCTTTTCCTTTCCGATAGCTCCCCTGAAGTAAAATTGACTTTCTTTGAACATAACTAATACTCTCTAATCTACTATTTTTAATATCTCTATGTTGACTTATTTCTTATTCGTTAGAATAATTACTTGTAATCTTAAAAGTCAGTATCAACAAATTAATCGCCATTTGGGTAATAACAGTTTTTTTAATAGTGCACAAAGTGCATACTTTAGTTACGAGTTTATAGTACAAGCGGAGCTCAGCGAAGCCAGAGTTTAATGGCTCGGGACAGTGTTTAAAGAAGCTGACCATTTAAAGTGAAACTTTCTGTATTTTAGAGTGGGAAGTAGAAAAATATCATTTTAATTAGCTATATTTGCACAAATTTCACTTGTACAACAACTAGAAGCAATAATTCATTAAATTGCTTTACATTAGGTTTACTATTGCAATAGGCCATTTGGTATAACTAAACCGAATCGAACAAAACAAAATTGGGTAAGAAAATATTTACAAAAAATACGTTTTATATTTTTTCAGCCATATGTTAATGTTAAAATGAATGTCTAAACACTTTTTGGATTTTGTGCGATATCTTGACAAAACTACAACAACTAAACACAAAAATAAATTAACTTGATTTTTCAGGATTTTATATCCGTTTGTTGAACTTTCTTGCCAAAATCAATTTTCAGGTTGTGAGACATGCACAATTGATTGCCCCAAAATATGTTTTCCCTGTTTTTCCCAAATATATTGTAACGCTTTGCCGGTCACTGTCTAAGAAATGTCCAATCTTAAAATTAAAATAAATAATAAAATATTTTTAGATGTTGGGCCAAGCTAAACTTATAATTAATTAATTAATTAGGTAGCTTAACTTCAAGCCACGGCCTAGTTAATTTTAAGGTGAAATTGTCACATAATTGTGGGTTCGCAAGATCTGCGTCTTGTTCTGATTCTGCATATTATTTATATTATATCTTATTTTTAAACGTTGACAATCTCCGGAATGTCAAATTCGTCATTTCTGTAAAATTCTTATAGAATAGCATAATAAATTGCTTCAACATGATATAATTTATTTAAAAACATCCCTTGAAGTAAGGTCAGAAAGAATTGGGCGGTTCCAAGTAGTTTCATTTTCTTTCGCTAGCGACGCACCTATTCCAAGTTAAATTTCAGATGGCGCTATCGACAGTGCTACTCGCAGTATTTTTGGTAAATGTGGTCAGTGCCTGCGAGGACAGTTCATGCTGCAGCAGTGCCAGCTGTGAGAGCTGTAGATCCTCGTGTACCAACAGCTGCAACATAGGTTGCGCTACTGGAAATAACTGTTGCAGTAGTTGTAGAGCCAGGTGCTGCCAGCAGTGTTCCTCTACCGTTACGGTGCCATCGTCGCCTACCCCAGACCGTATAATAATAACACCGGCTCCCTCGCCTTACGTCGTTCCCGAATCCTCAACGTCTATCAACTCCACAAACGTAAATAATAACAACTTCACCGTGCCGGTGGAAGTACGGATAGAAAACGTAATCAGCAACCATAATAACATATCCGTTCCGATTAACATCACTGTGCAAACTTCCAATCAAGTCCACATCCAGTCTGAATCATCGGGGGTTGTACCGTCACCGTCTCCAACTCCACCGGTTCCAGTACCTGTTCCGACCTGTCAAAATACCACCAATTTCGTACCCGTACGCGTACCATACCCTTATCCGGTACAGTATTATCCTCGACCTACGACAGGTTGCTGTCACGTGGTACAACCGTGCGTACCACAAGGGTGTCAGTGGCATACCACCCAATGCGGTTCCTCTTGTCGCAGTCCTGTGATGTTTCAACCCAGCAACCCCTGTCAGACAGGGTGTCAGCGAATGGATAGTTCTTACCAGACGTGGTGCTTTGGCAGGGACCACTGCCGCAAGATTCCCGTTGATTGTTCTCACTGTCCAAATGAATTCTACAACGACTATTCCACCTTCGCCAGCTGTGGAGGCTGTTTTAGGCAAAATTTCGGATCCGACCTTCTCGGCCGACTGAGTTGGCCTTGGGCGTTTGGGGGCGGAGGTTCCATGGCGCAAGCGCAGCCGTACGCTGATCAAGGCGGCTTCGTTTAACGGAGAAATGCGGCTTTTCGCGGTACTGTCAATTTAGTTCAGTTAGTTTTGTTATAAAGGTTTTAAAAATGTACATCTCCGTAGCTTTTTTATTTTGTTTATCGCTATTTGCATCAACATAGTTGGGAGTCACTAGGATCGGGAACCCTTCCCAAAGATGGTTGATCCGTGGAAAAAATTCAAAATATTTAAACTAAAACTAGAATACTCACATGCTGTTTAGAAAAAGGACTTATGCTCCAATCAAGATCGAACTCTGAAAATTAGAAATATTTATTTAAATGCTTATCGAACATAATACCTACCGTAAAAAACAAACTTTCTATTTATTTATTTTGATAATCCGCTTTTGTTGGCCTAGAAGGTTTGATGTGTGCATAATGAGCTCTCTTAATCTTTATCAGAAAAAAAATTACGCAAATATACTGGATGATTCCAAAAATCTTCCGGTAATTTCTGTGGTAAATTGAATATTAAAAAATAACCTTAATTCTGTTAATAAATTTGTGTCCCAAACTATATCCTTCAGAAGGGGCCCCAAATATTGTTTTCTTTTTCAATTATTTTTCAAACGCTTAATTTAAATTTTTTGAGCAATAACTTTTATGATCGAATCAAATCAAATTAGCGCAACCCTATCTATATTGTTGATGTTTATTCCAAAAAAATGTTGAATGTCCTTGTTTAGTAGTGTAGAGCCAGATCAATGTCGATGTCGAATAAACGCCCCATTGGCAACTTCAACGAAACTGAATTTCCGTTTTTTAAATTATGTTGGTTATGTTTGATGTAAAATAGACTAACCAAAACTAACCCGTTTAAACTATGGAAATATCAAAATCTTTTTATATAGAGAGCACATAATTATGACGTATTTGTCTGGGGCTGTTGCATAAACATGGCCGACCTTTATCTCCTGTTCGTGTTGTCGCCGAACAATAAACAATAACTATATTATTAACAAACGCGGTTTAATGATCCGAGTTTATTTAGGAATAATTTGGGAAATTTTCAAAGCGATTCGGTGCTTTGAGGGAAGCCATATTAAACCACCCCCGGAACGCATTAACACTCCGTCAAAGGATAAATATTTGCCCATGGGGACGTATTTTAGATTTTCACATCGCGAAACTTAAAGAGGATTACTGTAAGATTTCGGCGAAATTAATTTCATTTCGGTTGTGTTTGCGTTAGATTTTCGCCATAATGAAGAAGACACTGGGACAAGGTTATCACGCAGTCGGGAACATTATTTAATGGAAGCGTTTAATAGAAATTTATAAAACAACAAAAGATGCTTGCGGGTGGGGTCTAATTTGCCTGCGTAGGATTCGGGAAAGAAGAAATTAAGATGATTTTTGAATTCATTTGAATTTTTGAATTTATTTGTGTCTACTTTAAGAACGCTTTGAGATGCACATAGAACAAAAATATAAAATTAACACTTAGGATTGAATCATTGATCTACGAAAGAAAATCGAAATTCTAACTCAAAAACTGAACTAATAAACTTACGAAATATATTTTAAATTATTTTTTTCTACTCCCGTCTGTAAAATGCCTTATTACACACTGATATAGCGTGCGGGAAGCGCCACTTTACCACGTCGTTTCATTTCCCATCCGAGCCACTTTGGACGTTTCTGGGATTTTACCGCATGGGTTTGGAAGCAATCGGATGTTTTCGGGGATATTTCCCTCCCCGAATGGCGATCATGTCAGTGAATATATTCGTGTTTTGTGAAAATGTAACCAAAAACTAACGGTCGTAGAAAAAGTATAGTATGCAACTCGTTCGGTAAACTTGTTAACTCACTCGTTTATTAAAAACTCGCTCCGTTCGTGTCAAATAAACTCGTGAGTCAAATGCCGCTTTCCGCACTTGTTGTATATTATACTATTAGCATTGACATATTATAACTAAATTATCAAAATAAATAATAAAAATATTTATTATAGGTTTGAATCCGTCAAATGTCCATTCATATCATATCATATTCTCCTAGCTACTAGATATACAGGGTGCTCCTCAATATTGTGTGGAGAAGATAATTTTTATAATAAATACATATTTTTTAATATTTTATAAGAGATGTTTCTAGATATATATTTTTTATTTTCATTAGTGGCGTCTGTCCTCTATTTATTGAAGAAAAAGATGATAGGCTACTGACATTTTTTCAAGTGAGTGTTTTCTATGGATAGTTGCTAATGCTAATAAAACTGGAACTTTTGAAGCCGCCATAGAAAAATGTTGAGATTCTAAATCAACCAATATGATCTTGCAGAGTTCAACAATCGACTTGGCTAAAAACTTAAGTCAACAGGGTAGATATGGCAGTTTTTGCGCAACATTTTGCCAAAGTATACTTAGATTACATTAACAGTTTCAAGGAAATGAGTCAAGTGTGTGGAGTTCGCTTTTCAGAAAGAAAATGTGTAGCTGCCTGAGGCTCATCAATTTTGCGATATTTACTGCCTCTAATAGCTAAATTTAAGGGAACTCCTTAATTTTTTGGAAAATAAATATGTTTTATCATTGTGTCATTTTTTTTCTATAGTTTTTATTTTGTCTACAATTACCTGGAAAACTGATTCTCGGATCTGGTCCAAATATTCTCCGGTCGTGTCCCGATGTTGTTGAGCGAGTGTTTCCCGGGGAAGGTCATCTTCTAACCGCATTTATCACCGGATTACGACGCTCTATTAAATGATCCTTCAACGTCCGTGACGAATGAAGCGGACAATATCCCACTGACGAGACATTTTGCATTGTTCGCCCTTCTCGGGCTCTCTTAGGATAATTTTTTCCAACCCATCGTGATAATTTAGGAGACATTTTCTATGCGTATTTTATTTGTTTGTTATTTCCATTTTGAAAGGTAAAACAGGTTGCTTAATTTTCGTTTAAAGTAGTCCAGACTATTGATTTCATGAAATTAGTTCTTTACGTTGGATAGTTGTCGTCGTTGAAGAGCTTTTCAGGTACTGCCACACTTTTAGTGTTTTTATCTACTAATATCGATGTCATTTTAATGTCAAACCAGCTTCTTTACTATGGCTGTAATTGAAGAATTGAAGAATCTCTGCATGTGTTAAAATCTACAGATGAGGCAAATACATTTTCAAAAATATTCAATGAAATCTATGTCAATAAACTTTGCGTTCTTAAATTCAAAGTTTGTGACTTTCTGTGTTGGAAAAAATGATTCATACCGTTGGTAGAATATCAATGATCTATGATCTTAATTCAAAATTCCTCGTGACAGCTTGTGTTTTATGGTTTCTGTATATTTATTTCTGTTTTAAGCTAATTTCACAATGTCTGAATTGAAGTATATACATTGCCATGGACGTAATATGAGTATAATTGTGGTTTTCATCTTGGCTGATCTACTAATGATTTTGTTATCTTCAACAGAATTTTCCAATGAAAACATTGATGAACCTTGAGGACCACTAGGTAACTTTAGCATAATCAATAAATTGTTTTTGCGGACACGCTGTAGAAAGTAGCTCTCAAATATTCACTCAATGTTTTTTTCCAGCTATAGCGATTTCCAATCGTAGGTAAAAAAAATTTTGCCCTCCATATGGCCTACATCACTGCCCATAGCAAATTGCCACGTTCTTAACATTCGGGACGACCCTCAGAAATAGTATATTATGCAACATATACGTATACATTTGACTCACGAGTTTATTTGACACGAGCGGAGCGAGTTTTTAATAAACGAGTGAGTTAACAAGTTTACCGAACGGGTTGCATACTATACTTTTTCCACGACCGTTAGTTTTTGGGTACATTTTCGCAAAAAACCACCAATACATTCACTGACATGACCGTCAGAATTGACAAACGTCAAATTTCAAAGCGTCGGAAATATCTCCGAAATATCCGTTTGCTCCCAAATTCGTGCGGTAAAATCCCGGAAATGTCCGAAGTGGCTCGGATTCATGTGAAACGAAACTGACGTGGTAAAGTGACGCTTCCCGCACGCTAGATTGGTGGGTAATTAAGTATTTTACAGAAGGGAGTAGAAAAAATGGTTTTCGAGAAAAAAAAATGTGCAAAACTGCAATTATATGGCATTTATATTTTAAACAAAAGTTGGAGCCCCCGATGATGATGAAAGAAACAGGCAATGAAATCATAGTGCTTTAGTCACGGCCAATTTTCTTTGTAAGGGAGACTCAATTTTCAGTTTTTGCTCATAACCCTCAGACTATTTAAATTTTTTGTACATCATCGACAAATAAGTTTGTTTCCATAACTCGATAGCTTCAAATTTCAGCCACTTTTGATTCCATTCAAGTCACAAGTAATCGACATGAACAAAACTAAATAAGCTTAAACTTCTTTTAACTTTCATTGGGACAGTTCGGGCGATATTGTCAAAATAAATAACTGGTGTTTTCTAAGTAGAAAACGATGCTCCTGACACATTTTTCTATAAAAGATCTTTTAGTGAAACTGATTACAGAAGCATAAACATTGCGCAAAGAAAAATGCGAGCAGGCGCGACTTTTACATCTTTTGCACCAATTCCAAAGAAAAAGTTTAATGACTTAGCGGATTTGCTAAAAAGAAATGCTATTAAAAAATGTCACAGTCACTTTTGTAATAGCCTGAACGGTGCCAAAGACTGAAATGTCACGGTTTTTTAGTTACTTTGAAAACAGTACTTTTTATTTTGCATAAATCAGGTCTGTTGGTTGTTGCTTTTACTGTAGAATAGCTTAGCTTTTGTTTAAGTGCCATAATTTTTGTTTCTTATAATTTGAACAGTAGCTCTTTACCAAAAACAATAGGTCCGTTATTTTTTATTGTTTACATGTTAAAAGACTACTTAACTGACTTATCGACATGTATCAAAAACTATAGGTCGGTTGTTTTTTAGTTACAGATTTTCGGTGTTTTTTGTAGTTATTGTTTCCGTGCCAAAGTTTATAAAGGCACATTTTTTAGTGTTTTATTAATTTCCAGTTTGCGTTTTTTTAAAGTTACTATGTGCCTGTTGTATTATATGTTTATAATAAAATGTTATAATAAAACTGTTTTATCAAATCAAATCAAAT